CGATCCAACATGGTCACTGGTTTCGCTTATCGGTAACTCACCATGGTCGTCTATTTTTTTTGTTCTTCAGGACCAGCTCCTGTTACACCCATGATGTCGCCCGGTTCATGAACTTCCTTGCCTATGGGAAGACCAACCTGGTCCAAATGATCGTCCCACCAAAAGAGATCTTCCACTCTTGAACAGTACAAGAAGGCCATCAGCCATTCCATCCCAACAGGCATGACCATGGGCGGTTGGTCCAATGTTGGGAATCCAACTCGCTCCACGAACGTCAATGAAGTGATCAAAGCTGTGAAGAAGGCGGAGGTCAGGAAGCAGGGAAGGAAATCCAATGTCAAGCGAGATCTCAAGCTTCGAGAATTCCGCAAGACCATTCGGATCCTGGAGCGTGATGGAGGTGCAACATTGACCTCACGATCAAGACTCCAACCATGATGAAGGTTCAGTTCACATGATTGGTCGAACTGATGATCTGACGAACATGGAGACATTGGACTTCCGAAGCCACGCCAAGTTTCCAAACATTGCTCTCAAACCAAGGTATCCTGGAGCAAGAACGTCCAGGAGGAGCGCGATTGTCCTGACCAAATTTGCTGGGTGCCGCTGACCCTGACTTTTGCGTCCTGATTGCCCTGCTATTTGGATCGAGACGACTTGAGAGGGACACGGTGATCCCAAGTTTCTGTTTGGCCATTACCGTGTGACGATGAAGAAGCGTTCCTTGCGCCATCGAGGCTCTGGACAACGACGAAGAGCTCGACGAGACCAACATCGAGACGGAGCCTGATCGAGTCAACGCCTGGTACAACGCGTCTTGAAGAAGGCCTGGAAGGATCCTGAGTTTGTGGAGCTGGCCAAGCAAGTGCAGGGTAGCCTTGGTACCCACAGTCTTCGGAAGCTGCCTCCAACCTATGCAGCCGAGTGTGGCATCACCCAAGCCGAGAATGAGGCTCGTGGTCGCTGGAAGGGCGAGAAGAATGGCCATATTGTACATGTCTACATTGGACTGGAACAATTGCCGACCGACGCCAAGGTTGCGGGACTCTTGCTGTTGGAGGCCCCGTCAAGTACTCGATCAAGATTGACAGCGGTGTTGATCATGGGTTCATTGGCGAGCATGTCTGTCCTTCCACTTTGTGACTTCTTTGCCGACGACCCATCCAACAACCTAACGATGGTGCTTGGTCCAGCTTTTGCTTTGGGCTGCGATGGAACCTGTGCTTGGAGCATATGATGCCGGCAGACATTCGCCAACCGCATCCAGACCTGAGTATGCCCAGCTTCGGAACCACTTTGGATAGGATCCTGGGGCCGACTACAACCCAGTGGCCAAGATCCCTACTTACAATCTACAAGGTAGCCAATGCATTGCACATTACTAGTTGGCTCCACCGCCCAGGTCCAAGCTCTGTGCTGAGCCCTTGGTTGAGGTGCTCCTGGTGGTGTCAACATGAACAGCTCAACCAATTGCTTTGCTCTCCACAGTAGGACACAGAGGCAATCGAGGAGCCCAGCACATTCTTGCAAAGGACATCAGCTCCTTTAGGGGCTATGTCTTCGACCAACATGGCCATCGTGAACAAGAATAATTGGGAGGTATCAAACACTTCCAGTTGATGCGCGGGGTGGTGGTGCTCCAAGGCTTCCCTTCCTGGTGCGCCGGTGGAGCTGGCGTGGTGGTGCTGTGCATGCGGGAGCTGGCGTGCGTGGTGGTACTGACGGGAGCTGGCGGCGGTGGTGCTGCTGCAGCCGGCGGCGTGAGGACTTCCCCCACCACCGAGTCCTGGGCAGTTTGGCCCGTACTCCTGCCGCAAGGGCCCCTACACCCGCTACCCTGCCAGCCCACGCTTTCGAAGAAGCCTTTCAACCTCTACGAGCTGTGGGCGAGTGGATCAAGGGCCTGAACTGGCAACAAGGCGGCATTGGCAAGTTCTGCTCGTGAGCGCGGCCGCGTCAAGTACAAGTTCTGACGCCGCAGCATGTGTGGTACTGTGTGATTCGGTTGATGGCGAAGGCTTCGATTGGAGGGCTGCGGTCGATCGTATTATGCCACCTACGGGTGGCTTACGTTCACCCAGATCATAAACAAGTTCAAGCAAGACAGAGAAGAATCACCCACCGGCATCCACCCACGCTTGCGTTGAGCTGACCTTGGTGGTCCCCAGCCTACAGCGCGATCTGCTGTAGTCATAGCAAAAAACAAATTTTATGTGTTGAATCATTTTAGTTTTAAGAATTTTTTGTGGTTACTATTTTTCTTTTTGTGTTTTGTTTCTGTTTGTGATTCTGAGCATTTCTTCTTTGCCTTCGTGGACTTAGCGATTTTCGAGGACTTTGCGATTTTCATGTGCTTTTCCACTCTTCCGATCACTTTGCGATCTTTTGCTTGTATTGACTTTCCTTTTGTGTTGCGTCAGTGTGTTTATCGAAAGACTCGTTCATTGATACCATGACGACTGTTCTCTGAGCCTGCAGGTCGTTCGGCAGGTTCACAGTCAGTGGAGAATAGGCAAAACACCGCACCATAAGGAAGACAGGGGGTACACGTAAGCCTGTACTCCATGTAACGGTATGTATTCCCAGTTTATGGGGCGCAGATACCTTTACGCCGTATCACGAGAGAATCCTTTTAGATTATGTTTTACTCTCGAGGGTAAACTGCCTTTGAGCTTCTTCATCCCCCTTTAATGCTATTTCCGTTATTCCTGATATTCCTATTTCCTACTTTTCTATTTCTATTTCTATTTGCATATTCACTTTTTATCTTCGGCAGTCTATCTGCCCTGGCCTCTACCTTATTAATGGCCTATGCAGTGTCTGTGGGTCCCCCTCATTTGCGTCTGTTGTGGGATTCCCCTCGTTTTGTTGAAGCCAGGTATAGGGTATGGGTTAAGCTTAAGACTGCTGTGGCGAGGATCCAACCAGCACCACAGCATCCACAATGGACAACACACCGTAGCCATGTTGTTTTTATCCCTTTCCCCATAGTTCCCTAACTGCATAGTAAATACTTCCCTACACAAAGCACAGCCCTTACGACACATCCACATCACGGACCATTCATACGGGCACGAACCGTGTGGTGCAAAGCAACCATGCTGTCAAATGTGTATGGAACACCTGCTTACCGCAGGAAGATTGTAGCCAATCGGCGCTCCAGACAGAAGCAACGGGCACAACAAACAGACATAGGAACGCGCAGGCAGAGTTGAAAACTCAGCAAAGAGAATTCATGCAGAAGCATCGAGAACAACAATCTATTGAAGAAAAAGAGATTGCAATCAGCGAAATGACAGATTTGGCGAAGGAGTGAAGGAGCGAACGTACCTGTGTAAAGTTCCTCTTGCTACTGTATGGTGTCTGCCGGCCATGCTTCCAAGACATAAACCTGGCAAATGCCGGCTGGTATTGTTCCTGGAGTGACTTGCGCTTCCTCGCCATTGTCAACGTTGGCTGGTAACAAAAGAGCGAGTAACAGAAGAGGGAGTAGCCAAGTAACAAAATAGCGATAGGATTTGCCCATAGCTTTCGCTTATCCAGTGCTGATCTCCGAATTTATGAGAGGATTATCGAAGAAATGAAAAACTGGTTGGTACTCCTACTTGGATCCAACGGCAAAGTCAATCGTATCTCGTGATATGTCGGTTGCGAGGAGAGGATCTTGGGGCGTTTTCTCTCTCTCTGTACTGAGAGAGCTGTTCCGTGCACATAAGTCTTTGGGTTTCGCGGAACGTTGGGATGCGATTGTGTGTGACTAGGTTGTATTTTTGGCACGAGTGACTAAGATACTTAGGGCAAAAGTTGTATTTTGGGGTTGCCGATGCAACTACCAATGCGATTCTGAGTAGTATCGGATACCCTCAAATGACTGGTTTTCCCCGGCAGAATACCCTCACCAAATGAATGGTATCACCAGTCCCCAATATACGATTACCAATACTTAGGCCTAAGTGGGGGTGAAATATGTACTAAGACTACCAGGTAAGTCCCACCAGCGCATACAACTCCCCTAAGACTGATACCCTCTATCATGTGACTACGGTTGTATATTAGTAATACGGTACTGGTACTGTAGTAGCATCGAGGCAGCATCAGATTCGAGGGTTGAGATTCAACCTCTTCTTCATCGGCTTGATTACCAAACCGAACTCGCAGGTGCTGACTTCGCCCCTGATGAATTCTGTGACAAGCAATTCTGGCGCCAAGACGGCTTTCCTTCAACGCGACTGTGGACAAGATTTGCAATCATAGAGATGATGGGGCTGTCCAAGATATTGAACTGGTGATTGAACCTTTCATCAAGGAGTCTGCCATTGAAGCCTACGAAGATATTATGATGGAGGAGGTGGCAGAAGCTGCTGTTGCAAATAAACAGCCCGTGAAACATTATGGCAGAAAGTGCAGTGCAAAGGAGAACTATTAATAGGAGAGTACATTCCTGGATGTTGCATCAGTGTGGATAGGATTGGATGGGCTGGGCTAGGTTTCAGAAGGCTCTGTGCAGCCTGAACGTTTCCGGGACAAGCAAAAGGAGATCTATTTTGTAGTTTGTAATGATTAGATGGAAAACACTTTGATGTGACGTGTGGTGTGTATTGTATTTCCATTACGGATTACCTTCAGTTTCCGCCCAGCGCGGCATTTCGAATGTCTCTGAGGCATTGCAGGCTGGTTTCCAGAGGCATTCCATCCACGGTGGATTCCATTTTCCCGCTTACTCCGTCTCTGCATCCAGCAGCAACACATCGAGCCAACAATTCCACTTCTTGTTGGTCAGTTGGTAAGCATTTTTGTATCCAGTCTTGTACCGACGAAGATTCCTTGTTTGGTTCGGCTGTTGTTGCTGCTTTCATGATGGCTGCTCCAGCTGCCAGAGCATATCCTCCCCAATTGGAGACACTGGCAGCAACCAAATGGTCCGCGGGAACGACACAACCAATTTTGTCTCCATTTTGGATTTTGGGGTTTTCTTTGATTTTGTCAATAACTTTTCCCATGCCCATTTCATTGCCGCCGTCTCCAATGGCCAAGAATGGCACACCTTCAGGTGCACTGGCAATGAGTTCATCCAGCGGCGCAATCAGACCGGCACTGGTCATATCGATTCCACGCATAGTGTAGCAATTTCCGTCGGCACCAGGACCGGCCCGTTCGCAGGCAATTACAAGGTTGGCACTGGCGGCGAGAGCATCAAACTGTTGTTGCTGTTCGTCGTTCAATTTGGCTGGAAAGCACTGCAAGGTCACAGAACCAACACCATCACCTGAAGGCAGAGCCAAGTTTTCGAGTCCAGCCGCAAAGACGGCTTGATTGCAATCATCGGTCACGACAATCACCGTATGACCCAGAGCCATGGCAGCACGAGCAATGGCATAGGCTCCGGGAGGTCCATCGGTTTCGGTGGGCGGTGACTCCTTGACACAGCAAGGGAACCCAGAAAGGACCAGAACTGTCGATGATGCTGGTAGAGCAGCTAGAATCCGTGACGATGCGAGCAAATCACCAGGAACTATCAAAGATTTCATCCCACGATCACCGGCATCAGTGCCGATGATGTCTTGGATCTTTCCGATTTTCGCTTCGGCCATTGTGTGTTCCGGTGTGGGGGAATTCAGTGCAAACGAAGTGGAGAGTAGCAGAGCAGCAAAAACCAAGAGATTGTAGCGGCAGTGGAAGAGACCTTCAGAGCAAGCTTTTGGCATCGGCTTATCTATCTAAACTATGATACAGTTGTACACTTGGGGCGACAGAGAGTGCCTTGCTTGCATCAAACCTTCCGAATGATGGATGTTTTGCCAGTTTGATCCACACGGAAGACCCAAAAGATACCGACGTCCGTCCCTCGTCCGGAAGATTATTGTCAGCAGCCCACAGAGCTGCCAATGAAGGTCAAGATCATAGTTTGTCAAAAGATGGACTGACAAGTTTACATTCAATGAGTCCGATCCAACTCCGCATTCAGCCATTGATGAAGCCCCCGTTGGCAAACTCAAGTGTAGCTCAAGTTTGTGATCTACCGATACATTGTGGCATAGAAGCCTCGGATCTGCTTCTGGTTTGCTTTGATCTCGTAATCTAGCTACCGGTAGAGGCCAGGTTTGGTGCGCCCTCTGCCAGCTTTTCTGTCGACTAAGGATCGCCTAGCGTAAAGGTAGGACCAGTTGGTTCAAGAGGGTTTGTGTGGCCACTGGAGTCTAGATCTTTGAAGGGATACAGCTGCCTTAGTCGATCTGCCCTGCAAGGGTCCTTTTCTCATGACCATTTGCTTACGAATCGCCAGTATCGGCGCCAGCGGAAGTAGCAGATCCTCGAGCAGTACTCTTGGCTGCATTCAAACCAATCTTTTGCAATTCTTCGAATCGTTCATCAGATATTGCACTCTTGTCGCCACGAAATCGTTTCGTAAAAAGTTTCCGCTGGTGAATCACCCAATTTGCGAATCCTTGATCCTCGGGATACGCAGAGGGCACTCTGGTGTGACCCACTGATTCCTTGAACGCTTTCAGTTTCCGTATCCTATCTGACCATGGGATATACTTCTTCCCCGCGGCACTGGTATTCCCAGCAGCAGATGCACCTGGCTCTGTGGTCCGTTCACTCGAGGTGCCTGCTCGGCCGTTCCGTGGAGATCCAGCTTTCGAACCAGCAGTAGATTGAGAACCCGGGCTGTTTGATGGCGGACTCTTCTTTTGTGAGGCAAACTTTGGTTTTCTACCAAGCCACTCAAATGTCAAAGCATTCAATGCTTCCAACTCCTTCAAGGAAAACACACTCGGATCGCCCTCTTCCCATTGCTTGTACTGGGACCGAACTGTTTTCAGCCAGTCTCGTAGGCCCGGTGAAGCTGTATAAGTCTTAGGGACCGCGGCATGCCCGAATACTCCAAAAAAGTCTTCCAGTTGTGATAGCCGCTTTGCAAACGATGGCGACAACTCGTTCATTTTGAAAGCCTCGAAACCAAGTTTCTTTAGTGATTTGAATCGTTCATCCGAAAGTGCTTCATGATCACCAGTCCAGCGAAGAGAAAAGTCTTTTCTAGTTTCCCAAACCCACGAAGCAAACGGCTGATTTTGCTCGTACTTGCTTGGCACCCGAGTAGTACCGTGCTTAGATTCGTACTGTTGGAGCTCTCGAAACCTTGAACTCCAGCTCGTTATATGAACCTTCGGCGTAAACTCGTCTTGTTTGCCCGTTTCGGGGCTAATTCCGTGTTGAACAGCTTTGAGTTGAGCAATTCGTTCCGTAAAGGAAACCTCACACGGTTGTTTCGCAACAGACGAACGTTCGCTGCTGCTTTTCTTTTGCAGGTTGGCTAACGAAGATGTCCTTAGCTTTTCGTTTTCCCGTTCGAAATTTGTATGGACAGCACCTCCTCGCTGCTGATTGTCGATAACCCCATTGCCGTCCCCCCCTGCACTCTGCTCAGGTGCAACGCCACAATTGTCGGCGAGGGCACTGTCTTTGTTCTGTACAGCGTCGCCCACCCGCCTGGCACTGTTTTCGTTGCTGCCTGTATCTGCCTTCTTTTTCCAATTGAAACCGAGGGCATTTAATCGATTGATTTGTTCGTCAGTGAGATCGGACTGATTCCCCCTTTTCTTCTCTTTGTATTTCTTGCGGATTCTCACAATCCATTTCCGCAATCCCGAAGCATGATCCTTCGGCACACGGAAATGGTTGAATTGCCTCCCAAAGGCCTTCAACTGCGCAAACCGAGTCTCAAATTCTGAAGTGTGTTGACTTTCGACTGGGTCTGATTCGTGTTTTTTCTGAATATTTTCCTCGTCGTCCGAGTTCTCCTTTCCTTCCCTCTTGACCAGTGCACCGTCGGCCGACGCGCCAACAGCTCCATTCTTTGCGACGGGTGGAGTTCCTGGATCATTGATTTTCTCTCCTGGAGGATCGATTCGCTTGCTTGTTGCAACAGCAGCGGGTGTCTCAAGCTCCTGTCCCCCCTCGTCCCCGGAGTGGTCCTTTGGATGAATCGAATCAGTTTTGTCTGGCGCATGCTTTGTGCCATTCTTGTTGCCGTTGTTTTTCTGGTCGTTCCACCAAAACCCGATTTCGTCTAGCATATCAACCTGATCATTCGTCAGGTCCGAGGGAATTCCCTGTTGTCTCCCCCTGTATTTTTTGCGCGTTTTGATGACCCACTGTCTCAATCCAGGAATGCCATTATACCCCTTTGGCACTTTCGTGTGGTGAAACTTTCGCTTGAATCTATTCAATTGATCCAAGCGTTGGTCAAACGATTCTTTCTTCCATTCCTTGGTGATTTTTCCCTCGAACCCCAAGCTTTCGAGCGCAGCAAATCGATTGTCTGACATGGCTTTGACATCCCCATTTCGCCGAGCGCTGAATTTCACGCGTTGTTCCCTGACCCAATCTGCGAATTGTTGATCCTGCCAGACGTTTGGTACTGTGGTATTCCCGTGACTGTCTCGGTACTCTCGCATTTGTTCAAAGTACGTTTCCCATGATGCCTGCTTCCGCTCTTCTTTATCGAATTTTGCCTTCTTTTTGGAAGACGCATGATTCTTCTGCTGATCTACCCCTGATGATAATTTCCGTTTTCGTTTCTTCTTGCGGCGATCCACCTCGGACGTGTTGGTTTTCGCAGGCTGAGCATCTTGGGTATCTGTATCTTCCTTGGACTTTGCCGTTTCCACTTTTCTCCGTTTCTTCTTTTTGGGTCCCCAGTCAATCCTTAAGAATTCGTCCCAACTGACCCTTTTAATGCCGTCATCCGGTTGATTATCATTAGTGGTGACAGTGGCAGTGGCAGTGGCAGTTGTACTACTAGTAGTGCCTGTTAGGTCTTTGGTGGAATCACCCGATACAGCAGGGTCTTGCTTAACAGATTTTCGCGACTCTTCCTCCTCCTCCATGGCCCAAGCTAATATCACTACTCATAGATATCCCCCTCTATTGGATGGACGTAGCATGGTACTAGTACCTCAGTATTGATATTAGTAACCCAAAATCCTCGAATGTGTCTCTTCCAGTTTTGCTGGTCGGTCCAAAATGGGTTCAAAATGCACAAAATTTTTAAAAACCCGCGCTTGGTGAGGCGCACGCGCAAAAGCATTTGTTTCTTGGGCACAAAAGCTCTAATGACGTCAAATGTGCGTCGGGTATTACGTCACAAACACGAGTGGTGTTCCCAGAAAAGCCAACCTGACACCAATTCGTCGCTCAAAAACGCTGGATACCATCGGCACCCGAGTGTCCCCACCTTCCTCAACATCTGCTCAAGTGAGTAGATACTAGCTAGTAGTAGTTGTCAGAGAGATCCAGAATCCCACAGCAAACTCAACATCTATCCTGCCTGGGCCTACCTGTTGCCATCAGCAACTTTCCCTTTTTTACCGAGGATCAATAGTCAAGAGACAAGAGAGGCATTGGCATTTCTACCCCACGGTCAGGTCACAGATACCGGTACCGTACGACGACCAAAAGACTTGGTGTTTCTTTGACACACAACATCATCATCATCCATCATACCGTACCTCAAGTGAAAGACACTTGGTTTGTCAGCAAGTCGTTGGCATTCATCCAATCATTCATCCATTCGATACACTACCAACTTTCTCTACGATGATTCAATCGGCGATTCTCTTATTGGTAGCATTAGCGCTAGCTAGCTCGTCCTCAGTTTCCCACGCATTCAATACCAACTATCGGTATGAGCCACGGACACCATTGACACGCCACCATTCAACGCGACAGCGGCAGCAACAACAAGCCAACGATCCCAATGACTGGCTGGAAGACTTCAAATTGTTTAATGGGGAAGTTGTTAATCCTTACAGCGTCCTCGGTGTTCCCAGGCAAGCTGAGCGCACACAGATTCGTCAACAATATCTCAAAATGTCGAAACGGTATCATCCTGATGCAGCTCGCCAACGAGATATATTGCCAGGGTCTTGGTAAGTAAAGTAAAGCAAAGTAAAGTGGGAAAGGCACACTGTGCTCTCATCCAAAGGTTATGCCTCGGCCTCATTCGATGCTTCATGCACGTGTTGCTTTTGTGGCTGTGGTCTCTTTTGCATGATTTGCAAACACACCAGCAACAATGACGATGAAGTCAGGGAAGAGTGGGAACGCATCAAATTCAGCTACGAAATTCTGACCGATAAGAGACTGAGAAAAAAGTTTGACAGACACGAGGTCCTGGCCGATCCACAGGCTGCAATGAAACGAGCTGCATTCGATGCTGCCGGAAACGCCGCTGCCGGTCTTGGAAAGGGACTATTTTCAGTAGGCAAGGGACTATTCAACATGGGAGCCAAAGCGGTTTCTACGTCGGCCAAAGTTGTGGTCGATTCCGTGGACAACAAAAGCAAAGAACAGAAACCAGGCGAGAAAACCATCAACCGCAGAAACGATACCGAAGCATCACCAAATCCCACTAGTTCGACCAATAGAGGAGCATTGGAACTTCCCTAGCTAAACGGAACGCAGAGATTCAACAATCTACACAATACACCAATGGGATTCACTGGGCGAGATCATCGCAAACTGTGACGCACGCACAGGGTTGGTTTGAACCTCTAGCCGGTACCACTTTATGCAATCCCATTGGCAACCTTGTCGGTGCGCCAAATATTAGTATGCATACATATATGTACACCTGTCACCTGTCGAAACAAGCAAGAAACAGCAGAGCAAGCACATGAACAATACAAGCTACGAATGAATTCAAAATAGATGACTAAAGGGCCAGCAATACAACATAGCTACGAGCAAGGGAACAATTAACGCAACAATGGTCTCTTAGCACTAGGTTTAAATTACAGATCAGTACGCTTAAACGCAAGCATCATGGTCAATAACTTCTCTTCCTGCCGCCTCCATGGCGCGGGGGTTTGTTTGTCAAGTATAGTTGGTGAAGGCCATTAGAGAAGGACTCTTCATCACCCTATGCTGCCTTGGCTTTGTCCAGTTTGACAACTCGATGGTAATAATGACCATTGATATCGCTTGTGAGGCCTGCTCGGACCGTCAATATCCTTAAACATCACCAATTCCTTTTCCGTAGCAATCTCTGACGAGCTATTGTAGATGCATTTCCACTCCAGCAACTGGAAGCCAGGATCCCACCTTTTATCGTATCCTGAAGGACTCTGTCAAGCTTTTGGAAGTTGTGATGCTCCAATTTCTCGATCTCGTCTGCTTTCAACTTGCCCTTCTTGTGGTAGTTCCTCTGTTTCTGGACCCAAGTTCCAAGCGCGGTGTCCTTCTTGTATGATTCAGGAACAAAGCAGTTGCCCATTTGGTCTCTGTAAGCCTTCCTTGAGAGCCTGGTAGTTTTGCATCCGTGTACGTTGTTTTTGTGAAGAAGTGCATCCGTTTGGCTTTCCAGAGGGATCATACCCTCCTCCTCCATTGACTCGTCTTGATTCTTGAGTACAGTAAAATCATCAGCTCCTTAGGATGGGTCATCCTCCAAGGGTTCATCCATCCATGTGTTCTCGAATGTTTAGTATCTACCTTCATCAACTCATTTGACTTCACTAGGGAACTTCCTTTGAATTGTCAACTGTCGAAGATGATGTTGGCACTTCTTAATTCTTGAGTACAGCAGCAGAAGTGGCAGCACCTCGGGATGGATCATCCTCAAAGTCATCCTCGTCTTTGAAAACAACATCAAAGAAGAGGAAGTAAGGTGCTGGTGTGATATCTAGTACAAAGCATTAACAAATGCATTTTAAAAAGCAACAGCAGCAGAATGATGCATGTAGGTGAAACATCTTACTTTGCTCCACTTGCGCAGCAGCAAACTCCTCTTGGAAGGCTCACGAAAATGCCAAGAGGAGATTCATTTCGTTCAAAGAAGGGCAATGTGGCAAGAGTCTCAAAATCTTCTTGGATTGGAAAGGATGACAAGTTCCAAATTCACTGATCTTCTGTTCATCAGAGTCAACCACATCAAAACGCATGTTCATTAGCATCAACCACTTCTATTTTCAGTTGCATGAATGGTACATTCATTCTTAGAATCAAGCATTTCTTTAGTTGCAGAACTGGTTCGTCCGCTTTCTTAATTGCATGAAATTCAAACAAGAGGCTGCTTTCTACTTTTTGCTTCTTCCAATCATATATTATAACCCCCAAGTGCAAGGCTGTTCGGGTCTGAAGAAATAAACCAAGCACCAGTTCTCAAAAACCGTGTGCACGAGTATTTGATTCTGTGTCAATCTTTTTGATTTTATCAGAAAAGCTGTTGGCATTACATGTATGAACAAGAAAGCCAAGAGGGTCAGGTTTTCAATGCAAAGTCAAATGACGAAGTCGCTCAGTCAGATTTCTGGGAACTTTTAACAGCTTGGTAGATGGATATTCTTCCGGGGAGACACTTGTTGGCGCTGAGAGGAGCAAGATCGGCTACTGATTGAGGGGACTCTGGGGAGCATTCCTGAACTTCTAGCTCGTTGCTGAGAAGATACTATGGAATCGAGGATGTCTGGCTGAAATTCTTCAGATGAGACATTTGAAAGTGAAGAACCAAAAAGACACTCACAACAGTGGTTTGCAGCCACGCATTGAAGAAATTGGCTTTGGAAAGGAACAGAACCAGATAAATGGATATACAAAGTAGACGATCAATTGGGCAATCCCGAGGAGTATCACATCCTTGAGAGAATCAGCCTAAATGGTCTCCCGAGGATAAACACAATATTGCAAGCCATCTTCACACCCATTGCTCCATACTTGGGCAGCAATCGTAGAATTTGGACGGATGTTTCCAATCGAATGATTTCTGGAAAAAGCAGTGGTGGCACACCAGCAAGTTGTGAAAACGCAGAGAACGTAAATGATATGAACCAGTTCCCAGTGCATTCGCTCTTCCAACCAAGTCTCTTTCACTTTGTTGCTTTTATCAGCTCGGGATGCTTGATGCTTTGTTTTTTTGTCAGGAGGTGGTAGAGGCTTAGCACTTTCCCTCTTCGTGGCTCGTTTGACAATCACAGCAGGAGCAGTATTGGTTCTTTGAACACGAAGTCCAGTCGGTAGAGGAGGAGCAGGATACAGCACTGGAAGCCACCCCAGGTCGAAATGCTCTAACGGGGGCGGCACCGGCAGCTGCCGTTCGCCGGAGGGCTATATCCTTCGAATTTTCCAGTGTTATAACAAGAGAAGAGTCGTCGGTTAAGCTAAATTTAACCATATGTTTCGCCGTGAATACTCGACGCCATCGTAACGACCCTAGGGGGGGCCACTGAGGAGCTTGGAATTTTGTAATGAACTTATTTTATTGAAAGCAAAAAGCTAGAGATAAGGAAAGAGAGAGCACTGGAAACCTTCACAAAAAACGTACATGTAGTCTAATTAGCTGGCTTGTCAGATAGAGTACCATTTCGTGTTGACAAAGCACAATCGAACTATTTTACTATCAAATCGCACAGTGGTTTGCATAAACCATACGAAATTCCTTTTCACAGGCCTATGCAGCATTGGCTGAATCGTAATCTGTTAGATAAGTACAGTATTTTATATAGTAATCGGTCCTATGCAGGATTGGCATTAAAGCATGTAAAAGCGTTGATATGAAGGACTCGAATTACTTATCTCCTATCTTGACTAGTGACACATAATGAGAATGCGTAACTGCACATGTTGGTAAAACATACATCATTTCGTATAGTAGAAAAGGCTACCAGTGCAAAAAGGTTGGTATGCAGGATTCGACCTATTGACCGTATATCTTGTATTTTCCAGTAAAAATCGTTTCCTGCACAGACATAAGTAAAGGTGACATTTGAAACATGCATCGAATCGCCAAACGGAACATGAATCCTGCACAGAGCTGTATTCATAGTAAAAGAGTTTAAAAGCGTGACTGCACATCTTGGTAGATTCGTACAATAATGTATATAGTAAATGCTTCTAGGGGGTGCAACACCGTCCTTATGCAGGATTCACATTTCTTAGCTTATCTCTTTATTGTGTCCAAACATTTTCTTTCCTTGACAGGCATTAGTAGGGGCGCCCTTGAAGCTATATACCTGTATTTCGAATCCTGTATTGAGTCCAATCGTATATTAATAGTGTATATTTCAATAGTTCTTAACACATGCTGTTCTAAGAAGGCGTTTCAAGGCGTAATAAAAAGCCAGGAATATTGTAACATGTTTACAATCCATTGTACACATGTATAGTAAAATAGTAATATTGTGGTTTGCGTTCATCAAATCCTACTCCTTCGTGTTTGTCTAAGTCACTAGTTTTTGTGTAGCTTTGGTAGAAAAGGCTTAAATAAATGCTTCACAATTAACGACCCTAGGGGGAGCCACTGAGGAGCATGGATTTTTGTAACAAAATTATTTTATTAAAATTCAAGGGTGAGAGATAAAGAAAGAGGAAGCGCTGGAAACCTGGCTAGTGTACTATCTAGCTAGCTACATAGTACCGGTAGGTAGCTAGCTAGTAGCTAGTAGCTATGCATAGCAGCGACATAGAGTACCATTTCGTGTTGACAAAGCACAATCTTACTATTTTACTATAGATTTGTATGGTGGTTTGCATATACGGTACCAAATTACTTTTCGAATCGTGAATTAGTAGATTCCTACAGTACTTTGTATAGTAAATTATGCTAGATAAAGCGTGTAAAAGCGTTGATATGCAGGACTCGAATTACTTATCTCCCAGCTTGACTAGTGACACCTTACGAGAATTTGTGAGTGCACTTCCAGGTAGATTCGTACAGCTTAATATATAGTAAAAGATACTACAGGTGCAAAAAGGTTGCTATGCAGGAATCAAACTAGCGACCTTATATCTTCTACTGACCAGTCAAATCGCTTCCTGCACAGGCATCAGCAAAGATGACATTTGAAACATGCATCGAATTCCAATCGTATAGTAATAGAGTACGTTTCAATAATTTGTGACACATGCCCACTATCTGGAGGCGTAATAAAAAGGAAGGAATTTGTAACATGTTTACAATTCATTGTACAAATGTATAGTAAAAACGTAGTATTGTGGTTTGCCATTGCGACATTTACTCCTGCGTGCTTGTCTAACTTACGCAACTTTGTGGAGCCTTGGTAGAAAAGGCTTATTAAATAAATGCTTCACAATTATTAAAGTCGGGAGGGATTGAGGTAAACTCTCCTCAGTGTTAAACGGGTGAGAGACTGAGCTAAACTCCTCAGTGTTAATGAAAACTAACAAGGATGCTGTGGCTATTGATAGATTACAGGTAAGAAGAATTCGCTTTTATATCTTTTCTCTTTGCAATTGCTTATTAAGATGGGGAAGAACGGAGAGCAGGATAGTACATGTGCTAGCTAGATAGTAGTGGACATCATACAGTATGCCTGCTTGGTGACTTGGCAAGGACTAATGATATATGCATTGCCACCAGTCACAAAATAGACAAAAAGCAAGCTGAGAATCGCGTTCCTCTGCAAATTTGGGAACACTTCTCTCGAACACTGCTTCCGAACACTTTTTCTGAACACTTCTCCCGAACACATTGTAAGATATTATTTCTGAATTATCAGTGGACAGTCTTTAAGTATTTTGCAAACAATTTTTGTTGACGCTTTTTGTGCGCACCGTATCGCACTGTACCGTACCACACATGTACAAATTATTAAAAGCTTCACAGATCCAATAGCATTCAAAGAATACGATATAAATCTTGCTGGGTATCTAATTTGCAATTGTTGTGGTACTGGTATAGATACTACTCCATTCTCCATTCTATTGACTTTTTAATATATTTTCTTCTACAGCACAACTCATCACCTGAATAAAATAGATTAGGAAACCAACAACAATCTTGGTTAGACGATAGAAACAAGAGCAAAATAAAAAAACACATTGGAGCACTGATCTAACGCGTCTACTTCTCTGCAAAATCTTGATTGCTTATATTTTCAGCAGGAAATTTGAATTCAGTCAAATTGTGCTGGAAAGCTGAACCAAAATCGGCAGCAAAAATGCAGCAATGGAGCAAGCAGAACTTGTTTTTGATCGCTATGAAGATCACTTTGAGTCACTAGAGGAATTAAACACAGATGTGATAGAGTATCCAACGAGATAACAAAGATATATCAGACCATGCCGTTGGGGTGGTGCAAGGTACAAGCCGGTCCCACTGCTCCAGCTGCGGCAGCATCAGGCCCCTCAACGCTGGCTGGCTCATCAAGTGCCCAGGAGCGTTCCTCAATCGTGCATGTCTTAACAAAAACCGACCCTATTTTTTGGGACGGATTTAGGGACGGGTTCCCTTTAGGGTCGGGTTTGAAAACCGACCCTAAAAATAGGGACGGTTTCTAAAAAATAGGGACGGTTTCTGAAAAAATGTCCCTAATTTAGGGACGGGTTTCGATTTAGGGTCGGGTTTGAAAAACGTCCCTAAATGGAAGCGGGACTGAGTGGTAAATACATTGAAAACGCACCAATATTAGGGTCGGGTTTGAAAACCGACCCTAAAAATAGGGACGGTTTCTGAAAAATAGGGACGGTTTCTGAAAAAACGTCCCTAATTTAGGGACGGGTTTCGATTTAGGGTCGGGTTTCGAAACCGACCCTAAATCAGTCGGATTTAGGGTCGAGTTTCCAAACCGACCCTAAAAATAGGGTCGGATTTAAAGGGCATGCACGATTGAGGAACGCTCCAGTCCCCGACTACCATCACATTTGGGCACAAAGCCAATGCCGTAGCCGTCCGTGCTCATTGATCAGTACCTTCTGAACATCGTTGACCATAAGATGACATTGGATATTTTGCAATGGAAAAGCTCATTGAAGCCATGAACGCAGAGAATAGGAATATCGGATGACGACCTCGATGAAAATCCGAGCTCTGGAAAGCAATTTCAAATTTGGTCAGAAGATTGTTGGTTAGCTCTATATCTCTAACAAAATATCCCGTCGACTGTCTACCTCAGAGTCAGCTACCAGTTCTTCATTTTGTACTCGCAGTTGATTGGTCCAGAAGGTCCGACGTTTACTGGTGGTGAATCAAGTTGATCAGATCTGTAGCCAAAGCATAATTATCATCACTATGCCAAGTTCGCAATGCAATGGCCTCCATAGACAAGAGTCGCTCATCTGGGACAAAATCCTCTGGACATCACGTTTGCACCCATATGTACTGAAAGCAATTGTATACCTCTCTTCTATCAAAACCAAGTCTGTCTTCTTCCGACCGTTCCAACTGTGGTAGTTGGCTAAGAAGAGCTACAGTATAGTTGAACCAGTTCTATTTCTTTTCTTTTCTTTTCTTTTCGAGCAGCTATGTGAATATTTGCTGCCATGCAATGACTCGACATGAGTATGTGGAAAGGTGATCCTTTGGGAAGCATTTTTGCAACCTGCAGTAATGAGAGCAACCACAGCTTCCAAATGGCACATCAGTGGGACCTTTGGAATTCTCAATATTGCATTCATACTCCAGCAGTTTGATGATCTTCTCTCAGGCGCATTGTTGGCTTCGCTGATCATATCTGTAATCGTGGATTTGCGGCCCTTCTTCTTCGGTGCAGAATCAGTGGTGTCAGAGGCTGATGCATGTTTGCGAGACTCTTGAAAAACTTCGCTTCGTTGATCATCTGTGATTTTATTCCCAGCCATCAGATCAGGGGTTACCCTGGATTTGCGGCGCTTCTTCTTCGGTGCAGAATCGTTGGTTGAAGAGGCTGAGACACGTTTGCTAGCTAGACCCTCACAAGATCCTATGCACGGATCTGCTCTGCTCATTCCACTCAAATCCAATAGCCTCCAATTTCTGCTTTGAGCTTTCCCTTCTTGTATTATGGGACTGTCGCTGATTGCCAACTGCCAACCCATATCTTGCCCGTGCCACGACCATGTGTCTGAGAGGCTCCCGTGTCCCAGCTCTCAAGGTATTCAAGCGTTGGGATGACTGTGGTGCCCTCGATCTCTTCCGCTAGTCTTGCTCCTTTGCTCCTCCCTGCACTCCTGCCTTCACCGCTTTCCTTGGTTTCCATGTTGCCCTGCTTGCGCCCTTGATTGCTTGCCTTGCGTTCCTGCATCGTGCCCTCCCCTCGAGCTCTGTCCCCATCCTCATCTTAGCTCTCTCTAATCCATAGTAGTAAACCCGATTCGATATTCCAAGGGCAGGGTCATCCTCATGTCGTTTACAATGTCCCATTTGTTCTCGGTAGTCCTTGAGCAATAATTGATGGCTTGCATCCTTAGTTCGCTGCCCTCCTGTTCTGCACCGGCGGCGCACTCTACCTCCCACAGAAACCCAATGGCTTCCAATTTCTGGATCAGTTCTGCTTCCAGCTTCCCCTTCTTGTAGGCTCTCTGCTGATTGCCAACCCATGTTCCAAGGGCAGGGTCGTTATCATGTCGTTTTGGAACATTGCAATGTCCCGTTTTTCTCGTTAGTCCTTTTGCAATTGATAGTTGTCTTCCTAGGTCCAGAGCAAGCACACAAACGATACACCCTACAAATGAATTCAAAATAGATGACTAAAGAGCCAGCATCACAACATAGCTACGAGCAAGGGAACAATTAGCGCAACAATGCCACTGGTCTCTTAGCACTAGGTTTAAACTACAGATCACTAGGCTTAAACGCAAGCATCATGGTCAATAGCTTCTCTTCCTGCCACCTCCATGGCGCGGGGGTTTGTTGTTTTTCCTGGCATTGATACTCTCACTCCATTGAGGTGGGAGCAACTCCATGTTAACCTCACCCCTGGGACACCGCAGAATGCTTCGCCATTGCTCTTCGGGTACCATATTCTGGAAGTTTTGAATCACAAAGGAATTGACGAGGCCTTTCCTACAACACATCTTAAAGGTTGAAGCGATCAACTTGTCCTTTTGGGGTCCTTCTGGCAATAAGTTTGCACATTTCAACATTCTTCCAAAAGAAACGTGATCCAATCCATCTCGCAGACCCCTCATTTCATTGAATAATTCAATCGCAATCTTGAAGGCTTCTCTGGTTTCGTTTTCGTTGGTTGTTTCTGCGCATGCAGTCAACACGGCGTTGTACGTGAAGACTGTTGGTTGGATTCCCTCATTTCCCTCTTCGTAAGATCGCCGCATGCGCTGGAGAATGGCATACGATTTGTTGGCCAACTTTGCCACTCTAGCCTTGGTCATGGCGCGAATGAAGGAAGTGTACACTCTTTCACTTGGGGTTACCTGTCCGCTCACACAGCACTTCTCCATAACATCAAACGTTTTGGAAGCTAGCGTAAAAAGAAACTGCCTTCCAGAGCTCGGATCTTCATCAATGCTGTCATCCGATATTGCTATTCTCTGCGTTATGGCTTCAATGAGCTTTTCCATTGCAAAATTATCGACAGTCATTTTACGGTCAACCATGTCCAAGAGGTAATCATGCGCGCGAACGGCTGGGGCATTGGCATTGGGCCCGGGTGTAACGGCACTCGGGGACTGGGCACTTGGTGAGCCAGCGTCGGGGGGACTTGATCCTGCCCCACCTGCCCCAGATGGAGCAGTGTGACCGGCTTGTACCTTGCACCACCCCAACAGCATAGTCCGATATATCTCTGCTATCCCGTCTGATACTCCATCTGCGTTTGATTCCGCTAGTGACTCAAAGTGATCTTCGTAGCGATCAAAGACAAGTTCTGCTTGTTCCATTGCATCTTCGCTGCCCATTTTGGCCCAGCTTTCCAGCACAATTTGAATTGACTTGGCAGAGGGCCGAAAGCTATCGTCTCCATCCATGTACTTTTCGTTCATCTCATCAAGGATTATCTCTGCATGCGTGGGACCAAACTGATTTTTGCTGTAAGCCCAAGCGTTCATGCAAGCCAAATAGGCAATTGCGTCTGGCCCAAAACTGATTCTGCCATCCTCGTGTAGTGTCTCCATTCGTTTTAGCAATTTGTCAGCTTTGTTCTCAGCGCCATAAAAGTTCTTCCTAGCCAAGCGACTCCAGGCACTCATGACAATGGTCCAGCTGGCAATGTTGGGTTCTTCAACTTGCTCTCCTTCAAAGTACTGATACAAGAGTTGATTAAAGATGCGCTCTGCACAGCTAACACCATCCCAATCATTTTGCTGGGCATAGGCATCAATAAGTGTGATATAACTTGAGAGATTGGGGGTAACACAACCATCACAATTCAATTCATTCTCCAATTCAACCATAAACACGAGAAGTTTCTCAGCTCTCTCTGGTCCATAGTCAAGTCCACTCTTAGCCCATGATACCAAAACTTTGTTGAAGCTTTCAAGTGTAATTCCTCCTGGCATGCCTGTGTCGGGGTCCAAATGCGGTGGAAACAACTTGACTGCTTGTTTCAAGACCTTTTCGGCCCTTTGGGAAGATCCCCTGTCTCTGCTGCGTGCCAATGCCAGGATGACTGATTGGTACATGTCACAAGTTTGTTCCAAGCCATAACGATCCTTGATGGTGTCAAACAAATCATACACTTTTCTGTCAGTTCCACGTTCTCTCGACGACGCAAAGACCCGGAGTACGATTTCCAGTACTGTTTGGGTTGGTCTCAAGTGTTCAATTCCCGAATCCCGCAGCTGTTCCATCATACTCATGAGGTTGCCCACGTGCTCCACAGCAGGTTGTCCTCTTGTATCCTTCCGCCGGCCGTTGGCATACCGAAGGGCATCTTTTTCCCATGCCTTCATTGCCATAGTAAAATCTGTGATAGTTGGTTCCAAGATGGCGGTTTTTTCTTCTAAATCCTGTTCCACTGCATGTTGCCACTCATCAAGTAACCGAAACAAGAGTTTCTCAACAACTGGGGCCGTGGACTCTTCTTCTTGGTCTTGTTCTTCCTGGTCGTTATCTGTTTCGACAAAAAAAGCCATGATATCACGAATAAAGTAGACCTGATCTACACTGAGTTCCCCAACAGGGGTTTCATCAATGGCTGCAAGGAGTTCGATCTCATCAACCTCTTCTTCCACATACTCTGCTTCGTTTTCCAAATCATCCTGGAGCCATGATGCTTCTTCAGAAAGGGTTTCTGAATCTTCAAGGGGGTGATCTGGAGCTGACGTAGAATGCAACTTGGACGTCAACCTCTGTGAATATGGAAGAATGCCAATGTTTGGAGCAAAACAATATACCTGTACATCTTGCCATAACAATACTTGGAAACCCAGCAGCCAGGCGAAGCTATGTGAAAATGGCTTGGAGCCGCACATGGCAAGAACTACCGGTACCTAGCTATCTGGTTGGTGGGTGGACTTGATTGGCCTCGGCTTGTCGGTCGTTGTCAAGCACCTTTGTCTTCTTTCCTGGGCAGAGGCAGCAAGAGAGTCGAGTCCACTCGGCAGGGGCAAAGTTTGGTCACCAGTCACCAGGACGGGAATTTAAAAAATTTGATCTTGTTTGGATCCTTGATCACCCTTTCAATAACTTCCCGAGCAGAGGCAGCAAGAGATGGACGACAACTGCTGTGCCTGGCCTCTTTGCGATGGAAGAAGCCAAAAAGTGGTTGGTTGACAACTGCGCCAGGATCTTTTTCAGCAGGAGGCTTGATGGCCCCGATGTTGATGGGTTGTGACATGGTCTGTCTGCGACCGACAACCTCACCGTGGATGCGGTATCGTTTCCACGCTGAAATGATTTTCGCTCCACGATTGGATACCCTCATTCATTCCTCATTCACTCTCCGTCTATGGCTCATTATTTCGGCTTCGAAGAACTTGCACACCCCAACAACGAGCATCCGACCATTCGACAATACAATAGCAATGATGATGCGCAAGATCTTCAACGATGATCGTGTCGGTTCTTATCTCCAGCGGTCCGAGGACTCTTTCTTTGAAGACGTCCATGGTGCCATGTTCTCGGACAGCGGCAACAGAGACGAGAGCGGCCCAACCGAGCTTTTCCGAGATGTACCTTTGCCTCTTGTCGAATCAAAACCTCGGCGGTGCTCGGAAATATTGTTCCGATTCAAGAAAACACTGGCTGGGGTCCTTCAGCGGAAAAAGATCTGTCCACAACAAGTCACCGCTACCTCACTCACTGCGGAGGAACGCGACAGGCTTTTGGAAACTTCGCGCGCACTCAAGGAAATCGGTCCCTTGCATCAGAATCTTGATGAGAGTCATCTGGTGAACCGAATCGGTGATGAGTACTTGATCTCCGGAGTATTGGGGTCAGGTTCCTTTGGCATTGTACTCAATGGGCGAAGACCCACAGAGTCATCGAAGAATGATGTTGCAATCAAAGTATTGGTAAAGAGTGACCTCGCATCCATAGCGGATCTACAAGCGGTCAATAGCGAAATTTGTGTCCTGCGGCACCACGGCAACAGCCACCCCAACATTATCGGGTTTCGCGAGACAATCCACGGGCCAGAGAACATCTACATTGTCTTGGAAAAGTCACAAGTATCCCTGCAACAACTGTGGCACTTGCACAGCAATATGTTCGCGACCCAGCCCAACCTCTTCCAGGTGATCACCCGTGGGATTTTGAAAGCAGTGGCATACTTGCACGATGTTGGGATTAGCCACAACGACCTTCATCCAGGCAACATCCTGATTTGCACTGAGTTGGACAGCCAGCGCAATCTCAATGAGGGTCGGGTCATCGAGACCACTGACATTCGCCTTTGTGACTTTGGTATGGCCCGCATGGCAGATGACTACAATGGCATGTCACTATTGAATGAAAAGTCTCCCATTCTTCTGCCTCGTGGAGGACTTGGCCGGCCGCTCAATCGCGCGCCTGAGACTGCCACACAGTCGCTCTACGATTCGAAAAAGCAAGACGTCTGGTCCTTGGGTTGCATCCTCTTTGAAATCAATCTGCATTGGACCGGCGTGGAAGACTGGGAAGACACAATATTGCAGTCAAGAAAGAATCCAAAGGCAATGCAGCGTAAAATGGCCCAGATCCTGAAGAAAGCGCAAAGAATTCCAATTGATGGCAATGGACCGAAGCTCATGCATGACCTGCTCTTCAAGCAGCTGTTGGTCATGAACCCCAAAAAACGGGTATCAGCTGGTCAAGCTTTGAATCATCCTTGGTTTGACTTTGAATACTGATTTCCTCCCCGTATAGCAAGTTTTTATAATCCTTTCTTTAACACCTTATTAGTTCCTAATGAATTCACACAAATGCATTGTTCAGTACCAGATTCAGACTTAGCAAAAGCAGATAGGCACTTTTCAGTTTGGCAAATAATTTCCTTTTTCTCGTGGCTGGAACTATCGTAGCTATGGTCAAGAGCTGTGGCACTCACACACAATCATGTATTCTGGACCCGGCCAAACCTTTTCCAGGTGATCACACATAGGGTGTTGAATGTATTGGTGTACATGTACTTGCATGAGGTTAGAGTGCTTGAAGATCCATGGAGCATTGTCAAACAGCCCCTCGATGTCAAAATATCTGATGAAGAGGATGATGGTGGGGAAGAGACCACCAGCACACAATTGCCTCCCTTGAACCAGTCTTGCCAGCACGCTTCTGCGCAGACCTATCATCTACCTGTACAGAATGAAAGACTAGTGTCTGACCCGGAGGGAGACAGTCAATGGGATAATGTTCAGTACAGTCAAAGGTGCCACTTAGCTAGTATTATCTACAACTCTATTTGGCTTCATGTTCCAAAGAAAAAGGATACCTTGCATAGACGTCGCGGCTGGTTGGATCATCGGTACTTCCCACCATGATTCGTTCAATGGCTGCCCAGGCACTCATGCTGCCTTGATCCGTACATAATCTCGGTGGAGGGACAAACATCTTCCATCGATCTTCTTCATCGTCGTCATTGTCTTGACTGGAAGAACAACGCTCACACAATGTTTCCAGCCGTGCTCGTAGTTCCTGGTTGGCAGCAACGCCCCCCACCACAGCAAGACTTCTTATTTTAGAACCACCCTGTTCTTGTTCTTCCTGTTCCACCATTTTCATAGCACGTTCTAGTCGTTGTTCAATGTGTTTAATGGCCACATTTTGAAAGGAGGCAGCAATGTTGGCCTTGTCTTGATCCGTCAACAAGTCTTCCAGGTTCCCATCCATTTCCGTGTCACAAATCTTTTCGGCCGCTCTCCGAACGGCTGTTTTGAGACCTGCAAAACTGAAATCGCAGTCTTTGCGGTTCCGGAGTGGAATGGGCAGTGGAACAGCAGTGGGATCCCCTTGTTTGGCCAAGGCTTCGACAGCCGGTCCGCCTCCCCCTCCAACTGGTAGACCAAGAAGACGAGCTACCTTATCATAAGCTTCCCCCAGGGAATCATCTAATGTGCCCCCAATGATGGAGTATTTGCCAATATCGAGACACTTCATGATCTGACAGTGTCCTCCAGAAACCAGTAGTGCCAAGAATGGGAACTGCATGGTGCGTACAGTCTCGTGCACTAGATCGGTGGCAGGGAATACAAAATTGTTGGTTGTTGCTGTCGACGGCGATGCTTCCTCCAGTGGCAATCTTGCCATGAGAATATGAGCTTCCAAATGATGTACTCCCACAAACGGTTTTTGAAATGTTTGTGCCAGTTCTCTGGCCTTGGTAGCTCCCACTCGTAAACATATTTCCAATCCGGGTCCTATGGTAACGCCAATGGCATCGATTTCCTGAATGGAAGAAAATCCTGCTCGTTCGACGGCCAAATCTACAATGCGATCAATGGCGTCCTCATGGGCATCTCGGGCCAATCCTGGCACGACGCCACCCCATTGTTCGTGAATGTCACCCTGCGAAGCCAGAGCTTCTCCGAGAATGACTCCATCACTACGAACCACGGCAGCACCGGTATCGTCGCAACTGCTTTCAATGCCCAAGACGGTAAAGGGACGAGTTCGATCCGGCAACCCAGAGGCAGCCAAATAGTCTTTTGTTTCCGAGTGTCGCGGCAATTGGTATGTGACGATTCCTGGTTGACCATGATCCATAGCTTTGGCCAATCCAATCAGCTTGCGACGTTTGTTGCGTGCTTCGTTAAATCGCTTCTCCTTTTTCTTGTTCCGATGGACTTGCTGATTATCATGTGTACCGGTACGGGTCGTTTGATTCTGGAGGTTGCTCACAATTTGGGTAGCATTTTCTTGGGTTGAAGTGGACGCGGTAGTACCGGTATCTGTCGAGAATATCCTTGTCAGCAAGGGTGCTTGATTCCCACGCATCAGATGTTGTGGCCGTGTCCAGCTTCGTCCATTACTGGTAGTATGGTGCAGAAATCTTTTTGCAGCTGACGAAGACCACCCTTGGCATCGTCGCAGAAACGCTACAGTTGCCACTGCTACCACCATTCTGACCCAGAAATCTCTATTTGAGGTACTAGGATGAATCATTACCGAAACAACAATCCCCTCTCTTCAAATCTGGTGTCTTCTTTGTGGCACTATCTTCTCTATCTAGCTACTAGATACGTACCGGTAGCTGGCTCGAAGGATGTGATGGCTCGAAGGATGGGCCGCCGATTGCTGAACCTTCTTGCTTCCTGCTTGATGGGTGGATGGGGATCGAGATACGATGTACTAGTACTGTATCTCGATTCGTAGGGGATTTGACGTCAGTCATGAGTGATGGAGTCATGGATCGCTATCGAATCAATCCAATCCCATGCCCAGTCGAATGATCAATCCTACGATGTGACGACCATGGACCAAGAAGAAAGGAGGGTCGAGCATGGTAGGGTGGCCAAATGATTATTTTAAAATTTGGTCATGGTTTTGGGCATTCTCACAAGTACCGGTACAGCCCCATAGATTAGTTCGGTAGCAGACTGACAGTTTGGCGGCTTGAACAGCACAGGCATTCCCACCAAAATATATATTTCATATCACGTGACGAGAGCTCAAAAGCTGGTCAACCAGCACAAAATGAATACTGTTCACTGTATCTATCATTGGGCTCTTTCTAGCTAGACCTACATGTACGTGCACAGTACCCCCTTGGAGCCAGCTGTTTACATGAAGCTAATAGTAGTCGTCATAGTGGTCATACGCTCCATTGAGAGCAGCCAGAACGTCGCGAGCGTCATCGTCCCAAGGCTTCACACCTTGACAGAGCAGCTCGTAGGTTTCATCCTCTGTAAACCCATGGTTCGTGTTCCTATCATCGTGCATCCAAGCGCGTTCCTCATCCATTTCTGCTTGATCATGAAGATCCATACCACCCATGGCCGCAATCATTTGAGCGTATAAAGGCCCAAGAGAAGCAGGGTCCATGTTGTAGCCTGGATATTGAACGTTTGCAACAGCATCAATATTTTTGTAGTCACTGGATAAAGAGGAGGAGGTGATGGGTGGTCCACCCCCCCATGGCTTGGGGAGGGAGCAGTTTGTGCAGGCAATCAACATGGATCTCTTCTCTTGATAGGCACGTTCATAGAGATCGCTGTCCAGAGCCCATTGGAGAGATTTGCTTTCATAATCCCCGTCTGGTCGACAAAAGCAAATGTTATCCTCTGTGTAAACACCTGCCCGTAGTGGAGTTCCACAAAGCTGGCACGGGTAGGGACAACCTGGATATGGCTTGACCGGCACTCGAAATGTTCCCGGTGGCAGCTGCGTATCTCGAAGGTGTTGATTGTCCTTGTGCACAAGTTTTCGGAATTTCTTGATGTCAATTTCGGCCCAAAGGTCGGGATCTTTGGATTGCAGCTCATCAAGGCGTTGTTTGTGCGTGAGATCGACTTCTGTCTCCCGCGACTCCCTAAGAGCCGCACGTCTTTTCTCTTGGATACTGCCACCATTAACAATGGTAGGACTGAATTGGGACTTCTGGTTGTCAACAGAGTTCTCGCGCGAAGTCTTTCCGTCGACTTTGGTGTTGGTTGTTGGTACCGGTATTCGTGGAGTTGCCGATTCTGACGGTGGAAGTTCCGCACCTGTCCTTCTTCTGGTACCCAGTGCGATGTCCTCTGCTGAAATCGTTGGATCAGGGATACCCGTCACAATGGTCTTGTGGACCTTGCGATCCAACTCGGAGATTGCCCCATACGCAGCCAGAATCTCGTGGCCCCAGAGCGCCTCCTCCTCTGGCTCCCAAGGCCATTTCGACTTGTTCTTTTTTTCCCTCTTCTTCTTGTTGTTGTTTGTTGGCATGATGCAATGCTCTTTTGTTGTAAGAAGTAACAAAATACTTTGGCTAGCTATGGTCTAACAGTATGCCATAGATAGTCTATCCGACTGAGGCAGGGAGAATTAGATACGAGTGTGCAACAACGGCAAAAAAGATCTCTCGCTGTGCGGTGAGAGGAACGGTCCATGTCCGGTGTATACGGTACCAGGTACCGGTACCAGGTACTAAGAGTACGAGTACAGCTGTACCAGCTTATTCAAGCAGTCGTTTACGTTTGTCAGTCAGGATTGATACGTCACTGGGGAGGGTTTGACCTTGGCGCTAGTCTAAATAAATGTACCACCGTGTACCACTACACAACCAACTTGCTCAGCACCTTGAGGTATTCCACTCAAATTGAGTCTTTTCTCCTTTTTTCAAAAACATTTTCTTCAAAAATATGTTCCCCAGACCGAAAAGGAAACAGCCTATTTAAGCTGACCAATCTTATTCTGAATTTTAAGAGCCTAATTAGGCTCTTAAAATTACAACAGGCTCTTAGAATTCAGATCTGAAAAACCAGATTGAATATCTAGCTAATTTACACTGGGATCTGAGTTTTCAATTTTCCAATCTTAATTCTAAGAGCCTAGAATAGGCTCTAAGAGGCTCTGAGAATTCAGATTCAGATTATTCAACTTCAACAGGCCTTGTGGAGTCCTGCATGTCTCTTTGCTTCATTTTACATTTTCTGAACAATTAAACTTTGAGCTTTTTCTTCCATTTGGAGGAAATTACCCCAAGGTGCAGGAACACGACAACGCAATGGTTGCTACCGGTAGCTAGTAGTCTATCTAACCCATAGAAACTGACTTAATTAAACTTTGCAATAGAGAGCAACTCAAGTCCTGAAAGGATCCAGAGACTCACCAGAGAAGCTAATCAACTCTTGCAACAATATCTGTGAGGCCTGCGGACTCAATCCCACATTTCTCCATAATACACCGTACCGGTAGCCCACCAAGCACTGATGATTCCCATGGGGGATGCAACATAGTTTCAGGTTATTTTTTGCTTAAATCGTATGATCATATCAGTGGCAGTGGAATTGATAAGCAAGATTGCTGCGGGCACGTGTTGGCCAAGTCGTGGCACCTTCGGAGCCCCTGAGACTGCCTGGACTAAGCTCATGTACCCAATCGTGGACGGGAACGTTGTCTCCTCCCAAATCTGCGCTACCGGATTGGTTAGAAGATTGAAGTCCATCCAAGCATCGTTTGCAGCGGCGATATGGTACTGGTAGGACGGCTGACGGCTGTATCTGCTGCCACAGAGTCCCTTTGCTTCACACTTCAAACCTTTTCATACTTCGAAATAAAAAGTGCTGAGTACACCGTCTATATTATCATCTGGGAAACTACTTGTTCTCTCTTTAGTAAGACGTCTATTTGCTCATTGTTGCGTTCTCGTAGATTCTCATTCTTCCCTTCTCAAACCTGACCGCTCCAGCTCAAATCTCAGGGTTGGTTGCGCATTGTTGTCCAGCTTGATTGTTCGTACGCGGTCTTCTTGTTCCTCGCCTTGAGTTCAGGCGATCTATTTCTTACTTTTGATCCCCACCAAAGTCGCTCTCTTCGTTCATGACGGGTTCACATACCTCCTCGTCTTTATTGAGGTACCGATCCACGATATTCTCTTGAATCCAGGATGTAGTACTCAGTGCCAATCCAATTCTCAATGGGACAGCGAACCTGAACAAGACAGCAGGAAGTGGAAATAAAATTATGGAGCTGTGAGATGCTTGTCATCAAGTAAGTAAAACTAAGCGAGCGCTGCAAGCCGGCGATACGTACCTGGCAAAGTTGACAAAGGCAAAGGCTTCCGCTCCAACTTTGGCTTGATCGTCTGAGTTGCTCAAATCTGGCCAGTGTCCTGTCACTTGATGGTAACCAATGATGCACACAGGAATGCTAATAAACCAGAACGCCAACTCCCACAGAGCATAGGAAATGACACCAGCTGTTCCAGCTTCCTTGACCTTGGCCAAAAGTTTTTCTGTTTCAGTTTGTTCCTCGGGTTCCTCGGGAACTTCACAGTCATCCTTCACTGCCACTTCTGTGGACGCCTTGTTGTAATTGACAATTCCCAAAGTGGATTGTTCTTGCTTGCTCTCGGTGCCCACGGGTGCCATGTGCAGAGAAGAGACTGGTCGTACTTGTTGGGATACAGGAACAAATGCTGCTCGGCGAGGCGTAGAACCGACAAAGGCAGAAACGCTCAACGCCGATGCCAACAAGAGAAGTGCGGGGAGAATCTGTGCTCGTGTCATTTTCGTTGTCAGTCCGATAAACCGATTGTGAATTGGTGTTTTCCGTGGTTGTGTTTAGGTGTTGTTGTATTTTATGTAGCTAGCTAGCTAGTAGACTACCTTCTTCTAAAGCTTCTAAAGTTTGATGGTCGCTACGATTTGTTGGTTGAAGGCATCTCCTTCTCCACTTTTCTCCAGCTCTCTTATTGATTGAATCAGCACCTTGTGATTGGGTGTTGGCCCATTGGCGTCAGAAGAGGAAGACAACACGTCAGTCCGTGAACAGCTCAGTCCTGTTTTCGTCGTCACATAAAAAATATATTCTCCGGAGCCTCTGCCTCCTGGTACTGTACATGTATCCCCCAGATCCCAGGCAAGGCAAGCTCTGCAGGACCAGCAAGGTCCCGAAACGGGACTTAATTTTAAAATTTTAAATGGTGCTGTGAGTTAGTTTCACCGTTTCGGTTAGTTTCACGCTTTTGAGCTAGCTAGTTTCACCCTTCTTGAGTTAGTTTCACGCTTTTGAGTAGTTTCACGTTTTTTGAGTTAGTTTCACCGTTTTGAGTCAGTTTCACCGTTTTGTGTTAGTTTCACGCTTTTGCGTTAGTCGTGTTTAAATTGATTTACTATGATAGGAATGTACTTAGTTTCACACTTTTAGAGCTAGTTTCATAGCTTTTTGTTAGTTTCATGCTTTTGAGTTAGTTTCACGCTTTTGAGTTAGTTTCACCGAAATCGAATTCCCATGAAACTAAGAAAACGGTAAAACTAACGAGATCATTCGAAAATCAAACTGAAATTTTAATCTTCTGGCACGTTTCCGGACCTTGCGCGCAAGGACCACTACCAACAGTTTGAAGCACTCAGAGCATCAAAAGGCAGTGATATGATTGGTGGAGAGTGAGTATATGTGTCAGCAACATTTAACAGTACTGACGCTTACATGACACATACGTATAGAGACAATGTGCTACCAAGCTTAGCATTTCGCGCCCTTTTCTTAAACTGAGAAGTCTTTTTCGAAGGATTCCCTTTCGACAATGATGGTCTGGAGCGGCATTTCCAACCAAAAAATCGAAGTCGACACCATTGCAAACATAGCACCATGCCAGGAAACACCACCTTTGCCAATCCCTATGCCAAGCAGCCCATTATCCCACAAGATAATGGAGGAATGGGTCGGCAGAGTCAGCAGCGAAATTCTCTTCAGAAGAGAGCCTTTGGATTAGCGAGTAGGAGCAGCGGCAACAACAAGAAGAGGAAGAAAGGAGAGCAACAAACTCTGTTTGGCGCAGTTGCCTTTGATCCAGAAAGAGATTGCAAGACCTGCCGCTCACAGATCCTTCGAAGGCAAGGACTTCCTGTACCTGAATACAAGAAAGCTCACCACTCACTCTGCCCCAAAAATACCAAGACAAAGGGAATCTCCATCTCACAGCAGACTATGGAAACCAGAGAAGAGGAAAAGCGCCTCAAGGACCATTTTGCCAGACTTCTACAGGATCATGAAAAGGGAAGTGGAAAGAACATTAGCAGGGAATCAGTCGCTAAGTTCCTCGAGCCAAGGAAGAAAGCGCCACAACAACAAGCAATGACACAGCAGAAGTCCGCTGATGAGCAATCCACTCACCAGGGCGCCTACACTCCTGATAAACTCTGCGCAGCAGTTACCAGCTTGGTGAAGGATTCCTCATTTTGTGAACAACACAAGAAGAAGAGTGCACCCATCGCCATGATGGCCCTGGCAGAAATCGTCACAACACAAATCAGACGACCAGGGGATTTTGTGTCTCACTTTGAGGGCTTAACAATGATTGTTCCTGCAAAAAGGAACTGTGTCGACCCACATTATCATTCTATCACAGGCCAGAAGCTGCTCCTTGTTGACTGGATTCGATTTGGGGTACAAGTGCCCTGTCCAGATTCTGCTTGTGCTGGAAAGCTGGCTAACTACCGAACCAACTACTCGAAGAACAAGACGTTGTTCCCAATCTTTGGTCTAGAAGGTTCACCTTCCTGGTGCATTGTAATGTCTATGCATTGCCCTTCCTGTAAAAGGAGATTTGATGCGAATTCAGCACACGTTCTTTCATCGATTCCTTCCTTTGCTGCCAATCATTATCCGGTGGAAATGAAATATGCTCTCAACAACAAAAACAGTCACCTATCAAGGACTGCCACAGAAGCTTTCGAATCGATCATGCTTACATATGGAAATGGCGAACTGTGCAGCCGGTTGCTCTACGGTGCCATCAACAGACATTATATAAAAAGAATTACATCATATTATTCTTTCTGCAAATTCAAAAAGCAACTGTCATCCGACTTCCAACCTGAGGCTTATATTGCAAAGGATGGAGTATTCATGAGACTCTATCCACCACATGGAGAGACCATTCGCGACTCTTATGATGAGGCTGCTTCATCCAAATGGAATGCTTGGGGCATAAGTGACCACGACCGCCATACCAGGGAGATCCAGTCGGTCAAGTGTGATGAAATCTTCTGCCAAGACCACACTTTCCAGGCAGTCAAGAACTACCAGAAGAGTGTTAAGGCAGTCGCTGTGTGGGATGTTGGCACTGCAACTGGAGAAATAGCAAGTGCGATCATTGTTCCTACCACCCAAACCAAGCACCACAGCCATGCTGCAAAGCAGCTGTCCAAGCGAGGCAGTTTCAATCCGAAGGCCATGTACAGTGACACATGGCCAAACAAGAAAGAATACTGGGAGACGTTGTTCCCAAACCTGGAAGGGAGATTGGGCCTGTTTCATTTCGAAAAGAGAATCATTAGCACCATGCGCAAGCGTCACATCGATTACATGAACGCAATTTCGGATCTCCTGTCATGTCTTTATGTCTACTCACCGGATGATTTCGAAAAGCTGCTTCAGGCTCTCCGAAACGGGACATTGTCTGGTAAAAAGATGTCGACACAAGACATCTCTGATTTACGAGGAACAAAGCTCTTCAGAGACCGGTATGCCAAGTACTTGAGAAAAAGAATGCAGGAGCCACAAACGATGGTTCTCAAACTCGATGAATGGTACCGTCGCTACCATGTACCAGTTGATGACACCGAGGATGCAAGCGGAAGGCTTGATCCAGTCAAAAAGATACCTCTTTTTACCAGTGACACCAAAACAGCGGTTGCGAACTGCAAGGAAAAAACAATCTATTTAGCTGATCCCTTGCCACTTGAACAAATGTATGACGCAATCTCACCTTCCCCAAACGCAACACACAACCTTCCGGAATACCTCTCGAAGCGAGGAGAGTCAAAATTGGAGTGCTTTCATGACAGGTTTGCACATTTCGCAAACGGTGGAATGAGAAGAACATTGGCCGACAACCTCAATCTGTGTGGGACTGCCCGCTACAATCTGGCAATTAGGCACAAGCGAAGGATAATGTCATTGCCAAGTGAGGAAAGGAAACTCATTCCGGCTGGATGGGAAAAGGTTGTGTCCTATTGGAATCATGCCGAACTTACCTTCATCAACCGAATGGCCACTGCTGTTGGCGCCATTGTGCCGTTTCCTCATTCTGAAATTTTGCCCGCTGACAATGGTGAGAGATTCTTCTCAGAATATCTGTTGGTTTTTGAACCAGCCAAACAGACGTACAATCAGAATGATGAGTGCTTGTGTGTGAGCTGCGCCGAACAGCCACAGCAACAACAACAACAACAACCAGCGAACGTACCACCTGATTCGAATTCTCCAAACCATCCTCGAATCGCCAACAACCCAATGACTACTACCAATATAACTGCCCCCGCAACAGACAACAATGTAAGTACAATAAGTCGAACACAGCAACGGCCGCAACCGGCACGGCCTCAGCAACAACAACAACAACAGCAACAACGACAACCGATTCAAATTCAAATCCAACACACGTACCACCCAATTCAGATGCTTGCTCCGATCCTCCCTGCTTTCCCACCCGTCTATCGACCACCTCAGAGAGGTTGCTGTGCTCCCTATGTGTCATGGTTAACTCGTCGGAATGGTAGACCACCGCACGATCCCAGGTGTCGGTATCGGTTGCATGGGTATGCAGTTTCTTACTAGATAGAGCATAGAGCAGTAACGATTATTATAGTGGCCTGGTCAAATGGAAGTGGTGCACCGGGAGAGAAAATGAGAAACTGGGAGAGATTAGTGGAACATATTTGAATTCTTGTGGTTAGCTCCTTGCTGACACTTCTGGTACCGGTTTGACTTAAAGAGGTGGGGGAGATGACTGGAGAGTTAACGGAATTGTCGGTTTCTTGCAATCTCCCCCCTCCTCCTAAGTACGTTGAGTATGCACACTCGGTCACAAAGGATGGCTGGCTTGAAAAAGTCGGAACATGGAATCTAACCCTCTCCCTCCTCCTCTCTTTTCTCCCCTCCGCCCCCCCCTCCACCATGCCTTACCCCCCTAAAAAAATTTTGAAATGGTATGCGATGTAAAAGGCTTAGATTGATTAGTTTCTCACCCCCGAGGAGAACGATCGACCATATAACTAGCCCTTCCTTGGCCACTGCACTAGTGCTAGCTAGGCTCAGTTTCTAGAATGATATCCTTTATTAATAGTTTACCAATCAAACTTCTCAATCTTCAGGTCAATGCCATATTTCTTGTTGATCATTTCTAGCGACTCCACAACAGGCGCACTCCCGCCACAGTAAAGCATTTGCCAAGTGTCAAGCTTATGCTTGCTCGCATAATTGTTGTCATCGCTCTTGGCCACTTCACCCTTCTTTAGGGGGGTAAAGAATGATTTGGCCGTGTAGAGTTCCCCACCCTCGATTTCCAGAGCCCAGTCGTCGTCTTCCTCGTCATCGCCAGCATAAACGTAGTCAATGAGCAACTCATACTCCTCCTGGTCAATCGCTCCCGAACGATCCGTGTCAAATCGGTCGAAAATAACTAAGCGGCGTGGCTCAAACTTAGCAAGCAAGACAAGCAAGGGCAAGCCAAACACAGGAACAGAGAACTCTCACGTACCATCAATATCCTCAGGCGTGAACTCTTCGTACCCCAAGAAATCATTCACAGCACTCGTTAAACCTGCCTTTGTAATCGCAACAGCGTCCCTGTGTTGATGAACAACTGTCTCCAGGCTAGCCCTTCGTGTGCGGTTGCGCAATTTTGCTGCAGAATGCAACGTTTGATCCAGTTGCTTGGAGGAAACGCCCTTCTCCAAATTGGCACGTGCAGCCTCAGAGGCCTCAAGACAGGATACATAGAACCTCACCTCAGAATAGATTTTGAGGAGACGGCTCACCACTGCTCGGAACTTGCGTGCAGGGTCCAAGTCTCGGATTCTCTTGCCCTCCTCAGCAATATTTTCTGGCAAACCTGTCTCTGTTTCGATGCATTCTACCAAGCCGCAAATGACTTTCTCCAGTGCAGGCCGGCCTGCGAAGATGAGGAAGAGGGTAAGCGGATGAGCAAAGTGTGGTGGCGGAGGCGGAGCTCTCAACAAGGTTGGGTTTACTTGCCTGCAAAGATGAAAATGTTGGAAGGCATCTCATCGGGCAAAACCAACCTTCACGATCAAAAGTCAACAAGGTTTTGTGAGCAAGGTAATTGATTCATTGAGGAACCTCGCCAACTCGAGCACTGCAACATCGTGGCAGAATCTTTGCCTGCACTTACTGTTTCTTGCCCGTGTAATAGATAAGGACGAAAGCATCTGAAGGAAAGTCTACCGTGCTGACAAAGAACTCTACGAATGATGGATCGCGACACATCCACACCAGATTGATACGGCGAGTTCCTCGGTACATGTTCACGGTACACAGAGCTGGCGTAATGCCAATTCCAGTTGCCAAAGTGACAATGTTGTCAAAGTGAATTGCCGTTGCAAAGGGAGATAAAAAGGGACCACTGACCCAGGCGGGTCTTGAAGTTGGCCTCAGCGTAGTGTCGTGTAGTTGCTTGGACCAGTCACCAATGGCCGCAATGCAGACAGAAGATTGGTTGGAATTCGCATGGCTCGGGAAGATGCTATATCACCAGAACCACATTTTCAGCTGCGTCAGAGAAAGCGGGAGCTTGCACACGGCCAACTCGTTGTGTGATTTCGTACCTAAAGGCATGCCATTGGTATCGACTGATCCATGGCAGCATGATGACAACATAAGATGGACCCTTGAGTTCAAAACCGCGTGGATTGTCAAATGTCAGGGAGACTCCAGATTCCAAACGGCGAAAGATTGTTGAATGCACTAAGTAGGTTCCCCAGAAGCACCCAATAAACCAGTTCAGCCAGTAAATCACCATTGGAATTCCGCATAAATAAAAGATGTGTGAAACAGGAGCATGGACAATCAAGGCAACACCCCAGATCCAGCTAAGATAATGAAGACTCTTGCGCAACTCAAAATTCATCCTTGTCTTGAAGAAGTTGTAGGCCATTGGCCAGGTAATGAGAGGCATGACAATAGTGGCAATAAGTCCCGTGATTCCAGTTTGATGCTGCCAGAGAAAAGCGATTTTGCCATCGAGCCCCCAACGCAAAAGGTGGAAGAAAACATGTATCCAAGTAGCCCATTCCACTGCGAGAAAGCAAACGAATCCAATCCAATGTAAGTTAGACGTGAGTAGGAGACGGAGACGAATCAATGGAAAGGAGACGGAGACGAATCAATCAACACCACATGACATTGTGCACTCACCCAACATGCCTCCCCAGCGATGCAAATGATGGAACTCAGAAAAATCCAAAAAGACACTCACAACCGTGGTCTGCAGCCACGCATTGAAGAAATTCGCTTTGGAAAGGAACAGAAACCAGATGAATGGATATACAAAGTAGACTATCGATCGGGCAATCCCGAGGAGTATCATATCCTTGAGAGAATCAGCACAAATGGTCTCCCGAGGACAAACACAATATTGCAAGCCATCTTCACACCCGTTGCTCCATGCTTGGGCAGCAATCGTGGAATTTGGACGGAGGTTTCCAATCGAAGGATTTCTGGAAAAAGCAGTGGTGGCACACCAGCAGGTTGTGAAGACGCAGAGAACGTAAATGACATGGACCAGTTCCCAGCGCATTCGCTCTTCCAGCCAAGTCTCTTTCACTTTGTTGCTTTGATCGGCTCGGGATGCTTGATGCTTTGGTTTTTTGTCTGGAGGTGGTAGAGGCTTGGCACTTTCCCTCTTCTTGGCTCGTTCGACAATCGCAGCAGGAGCAGTATTGGTTCTTCGAACACGAAGTCCAGTCGGTTGGGGAGGAGCAGGGTATACAGCACTGGAAGCCACCCCTGGTCGAAATGCCCCAACGGGGGCGGCACCGGCAGCAGCCGTTCGCCGGAGTGCGATGTCCTGGCGAGCCCGTTCCAACTCTTTCGCATTCTCCAGGGTGAAAACAGGTGCTGTTTCGTCCGTTAAACTGAATTTTAGCATATTTTTGGCCGTATTCAATTTGTGTGCAGCTACTTCAGACCATTTCCAAGTGGAGACCACGTTGGACCCATCCTCTTGGAACGATACCCCACCATCCGTTAGAGACAATTGTCCAGTACGCTTCTTTCGAACCTGTTCCAGATGAAACGATTCAATTCGAGATTCATGACAGGGTGAGGAAAGCAAGAAACGAGACATGACGCAAACCTCTTCCTCTAGAACTAGATACAGCAGCACAGATGGAACTCCATGTACGTACCCCTCGAAAGACAGTAGTAGACCCTTGAACACTCGACGCCATCTAGTGAAAACTAACAATGATGCTGTGGCTACTGGTAGATAGGGAAGAATTCTATTGCAACTTTTTCTCTTCGCAGTTGCTGAATTTTTATGATGTGGAAGCAAGGAGAATAAGATTGTACAAGCTAGCTAGTGGTAGCAGAGATCAGCGAGAGATGAGACCACAGAGTTCCAGAGTCGAGTCGATTCTGATTCAATGCTGCAATCTTCCTTGTGTAACACAAGGGGCAAAAAATGAGACGATGAATGGTTTATGGTTTGTATGCATATGCCTGCTTGGTGACTTGGTGAGGACATCCGCATTCCGCATTGCCACCAGTCACAAAATTGAATGATGAATCTTCCAGTTTATGAGAAGGATCGATTGAGAACTGGACCTCTGTGGAAAAGTCATTCGTGGAAACATACTTATGAGACGATACACCGAGGCATAGGAGACGATCGAAATGATTTAAGAGACGAAAGCAATAGGAGACGATACCATAGGAGACATTCCGATTAGGAGACGATACCATACAGTTTATTAATACATGGTACACTTAGCTAAAGGAGACGATCCGTTGAGAATAGGAGTCCATCCGTTGAAAATAGGAGACGATTTAAGAGGAGACGAAAGATTTAAGAGACAATCGGTTTTGTCTCCTATTTCTAGGAGACGAAATCCATTAAATAAGAGACGATCAAAAGGATTTAGAAGACGATCAGTACCACGACTCGAGTTTCCACAGAGGTCTGAAGCGGGAACAAGAATATTAAAATAAGTTCCACCGATTTGAGAAATCGGCGATTTACTATATAAAAGACAGTATTTTACGATTAAAGCCTGTTGTTTCAGTCATATTTGGCGAATGTGACTGTAACATTTCTGGACCAAGTTTTTAAGTGGAATGAATCGGAGAAGCATTACTAGCTAGCTAGTAGAAGAAAAGGAAGCAAACTTCCTATTGGATGATTGTTTAAAACTCCTTCTTGAGAAAGAGCAATATTGGGGGTAAACTCACCCATTTTGCCCTAAACAACGGTCAACAGTCATCTAAGACAGTCATTATTCCTTTGGAAAGGGTTTTGGTCCATTCCCATTGGGGCGATATGGAAGGGACATAATGCATTGTCATCATCCTTCATCGCCACCAGTCCCAGATCTTTTTAACGTGGATATTGTAGATATCTTGTTTGTTTCATGCGAAGGATCCATTCCACTTGATGCAATGACGCGAAAGAACCAAGTTGCCTACAACGGTACATCGTACAAACTCGAAGTCCAGAAAATACACCGGAATTCATTAACGATGGATGGTCAGGCCTGTCCATAGTCGGTCAAAATGTGAGCAAATCACTCCATGCCACCGGAAGAGCAATGCAAAGGAAGACACCAAACTGTTGTTGTTAGTTGTTATCCATACTCATTACAGCGAAGGAGCTAGCCAGCCATGAGTGGCGCGTTAGAAAGCTGGTAGTCTGTAGAAGAGGATGGTTCTTTAGTTGGCAGGAAACCTCCAACTGGCACCGAAGATAACAGGATGGCAGGTAACCGGTTGGAATACGCGAGGGATTCTTGGCGGCGGTTCTTGCTGCATACCCGCTGTAGCTTACATGGCAGAGAGAACGTCATTGGATAGAGCACACGCAAGTTGGCAATGCCGCTTGTTTATACAGTGGGTTGGCATGTAAAGATTGGCAGGCCGCCAAGCCTGAACGTACACTATCTTGTAACCCAATTGCTGTGGTGCTGCCCCAGCAGGAGCCTCGAAAAGCATCGGAAATCCCTCTTCCAATACCACTGCCGGCTGACGCAAAAAGGAATCCGGAAATAAAATAGCACAAAGACCATTGTGGGGTTGAATGAGACCCGTGCTATTTTTCACATGCAGCCTGTACCGGTTCGTACGGTACAGTAGGTCAAAGTGCCCCCATGCCACAGACACCGGTCACCAAAATGAAGTTTGGGCGTTGGGCATACAGGTACGAAACGCAAAGCTTCACGCTGGAATTAGGGATAGGGGATAAGGCAAAATGCCCTTTTTGTTTTTTTTCGTAGCTCAACACCTTCCCACCAATATCAACATGACAGAACGACGGCGCTACCAACGAGTATCCTCTATTGCGACTCTTCCGATCGCTTCATTAACACTATGAATAGCCGTGTTCAACAGAAGAAGTCTCAGTTCCAGCCACACAAGCAGCGCAATCAGTCTGAAGTGAGCAGGATGTGTTGTTTCGGTCGTGCCGATTCTTCCATTCTTCCCCACTTTCGGCTCTGTCATTGCCATTAGCCGCCATTAGGTCCAATCCTCTCTTGTTAGCAGTCAAGTCAATAAGTATTCTAGCAGCAGGATACCCATCTTTAAGCCCACTTTGGACAACAGTAGCCGTCGCAGTGAAGCCTTTTGGCATGGTGGTTTGATTCGACGATTCGACACAATTTTTTAAAAGGAAAAGCGGCCAAGGAAGAAAATCCACTAGTACCGGTGCATGTACTTGCTGGGATGATACAGAAAGTATGTGCCTGAACAAGACGTTTCGGCTAAGATCTTGCAACCTGGGAGAAAGAATGCCTCTGGGTGCCAACCTCTTCAAGCTTGAGAAGTTTCGTGCGCGTCATTGGTACTGTCGGTACCGGTATGCATAGTTGCTGGCAGCCAACAACCGTCGTGGCGGGTTGCCAGCTGGCTTGCCCAGTGCGCTCCATTCAAGTGCTTCTCGATGAGACTGGGGTGGTGGCGATGGTTTGTACGAGAAATCATCATAATATTGAAAAAACAAACTAGTGCTAAGCCTATACATACTACGTTACCAGTATCCCTACTCACATTTGCAATCGCAAGGGGAATCGCATGTGACCCTGTCACAGTCGATTGTCAGAGTAGTGAGGGAAGCCGTGGCCAAGCACATCTTACTCGGCACAGAACCGGACAACTGGTTATTGTGGAGATTTAGACTCTCCAGACTTGCCATTCCACCCCAATCCGGAATCGTTCCAGTGATTTGATTGTTATCGAGCAAGAAGCGTTCTGTTGTTTCACGGACAAACAAGAAGAGGCGTCTGTGAGAAAGCGTTTCCCTGTCTTCGTTACGTCGGTGTGCTCCACTTACTCATGCTCGTGCTCTTGGCTAAAGTATCGGGAAGACTACCTCCAATGCTGTTGTGATGCAGGTTCATTTCCTCTGTTCCGAATTGTGAAAATGAAAGTGTAAGGGCACTGGTAGGGAGACGGTGCTTTCTGGATGTCGAGCACCATGCATCTTGAATCAACTTACGCAAATGATGCAACCTATTAAAGACTTCCGGGACTTCACCATGGAGCTCGTTTTCCTGTGCTTCAAAGATTTCTGCTCATTGAACCGATAGATAGAAAAGAGTTGAGCCACACGCACGAAGAGTAGCAGAGGTCACGAACGGCACAGTCAGCAGAGTATTGTACCGTACTCACCGAGGCGGAAGATGGATTCGATTTCTGGTGGGATTGTTCCTGTCAATTTGTTGTTTCCGATTCGGAAGTCCACCAGAGTTGTGAGCTGGAACAGCGAGTGGGGAATGTGCCCTTTGAATTCATTGCTTTGGAGATAGAGCGAGTCTAATAGACACCGGAACAAAGAAACCGTGTTGAGCATGGCAGGTTTTACCATCATTCAGGCAAAAGCAAAGCGCTGATAACGTACCAATCTTGGTCTGCTTCCATTCCTTGGGCAGACTTCCCGATAGCTGGTTGTGATCTAGCTTGAGACCTCGGAGATTGACCAACTCTCCAATGTAAGCTGGGAGTGGACCTTTGAGCTTGTTATGGGACAAGAAGATTTCTTCGGCACTGGAGAGGTCACCGATCGACTGCGGCAGCTCTCCCGTCAATTGATTGTCCTGCAGCCTCAAGAAATGCAAGAGAGTCATTTGACCGATTTCCTCTGGGATGGACCCGACTAGACCATTGCCAGAGAGATCTACGAGAGCAGGAATCACAGAGGAAAAATCCATGAGTCACGCGCATGTGATATAAAAGCAAAGAGCAAAACCAAACATTCGCGACGAAATGAAACGAAGACGCACCTAAAAGTACCAAATCCGTGAGAGCCTTGAGCTCGCTCGGGATGGATCCCTGAAGTCCATTGGTTGCCAGATTGACGTGGACGACGATATCCTTGTTTCCCTGAATCCGTTCACACTCGATTCCATACCAGTTACAGACAGAAGCCTTGGTCATCCAATTGTCCTGTTTCTGCCATTGACTTTCCTGAGTCGAGTGGTACAAGACAGCCATGACGTATCTAACGATAAGATCCGGACTGTCCGGAGCCAATTGAGCTTCGTCCGCTTCGGCCAACCACAGCAGCGCCTTGTGAGCAATGGACTTTGCCTTTTTCAATTCGGCTTCGCTTGTCACTCCTTGATCAATGATTTTGGCCTGGATAGCTTCGGTACGTCCTTCTGGAACGGGGCTCGTGACAACCTTGACAGGTTCCTCCTTTTTGTCACCTCCAGCCACCGTAAAGGCCACAAAAAGAGTTCCCACAATGAGGAGAGTCGCAAAGATCAAGAAGCGAGTGCTGAAGATGAGATCGCGGCACTTTTCGCCTCGTGACATGGAAGCCCTGGCCTGGTAGTCTCCTTGGCGCTGTCCAGGTCCATCGGTGGCATAGTCCAAGAAGACATCTACCATCGATGCTTGATGCGCACCTCCCTTTTTCATTCTAGGACGGGCATGTCTCTTGCCCTTGTTCCGTCCACTCTCATAAGTGGCAGCACTAGTGTCCATCAAGTTGACCGACTGATCAATCTTATTAAACCTGTCTCCTTTCTCAAAGAAATTTCCGCCACCACCGCCGCCGCCACCACGGCTGCTGCCTTGACTGGCCAGATCACTCTGAGTTACATTGGTAGCCTGATCGTCTTCCAAATCGAGACGCTCTGGATCCAAATCATCGTCATCTTCATTCTCCAAGAAGCGACGCGCCACAAAGGAACGATGACGCCCAGCGCCACCCGAGCCGTTGTTGTTGTTGTTGCCACGGCCTCCACGGCCACCCGTGCTGCTGTTGTTGGCCGAGGATGTTCGCTGGTTGCGACGCTTTCGCCGAGCTTCCACAGAGTTGCCCTCGTTGTCCGACATGATGGAACAGATTGATTCTGTCGACTCGCTATTATCTCGCAGGATACCGGTACCTAGTAGCTAGCTTTTTAAAAACAAACAGTTAGCTGCCAATAGCGTGAGCAAGGATGGTGGTACTAGCTAGTAGTACCTCCAGTTGCTTCGGGTGATAATAGCAGTGGCTTGCTGTTGTTGCCGCGAGCCGTAACATCAAAGGTTCTTTTGCCTCCAACACGCGTTGCGATAGAATTCGCGTGAGATCTTGTTCCACACGTGAACCTCTTTAAGACCGGGTTAGTACCAGCTGTTGGCGTAGAAATAGACGTAAACCATAAGTTTTGTCGGCACTGCCGGTACGGTACCATTATAGATAATTGATACCTTACGGTAGCATGACCCAACAATAACTAAAACCGTAGAAAAGAAATAAAGGTACCGTTTTGGCAGCCCAGCATATGACACTGTACACTGTAGCCAAGTCCCATTGCAAAAAGTGTTTATGAGTTATTATTGCTTTAGGTTCGTCCTGATGGACTTCCGGGTTGGATTCCATTCAAGTATCATGGTTCCCAGGAGGAACCATTGATTGCGCAATTGTGGCGCTCAGCATTGGTTTTCAGGCCAACCAACAAGAAAACTAGAAGCAAAAGCTGCAGCACCCTCACAAGCCGCAAACGCTGCCGCTGCCGCCGACAGCAAATGCATGCCCAAGCGATCTTTTGCTGGCTCCCCACAGCTTCTTTGTTGTGACTGTGTGGGGTTTCTACGCAGTAACTTGCCGTTTCTTTCCTCAGTATTAAGATTTAATTATCTGCTGCAAATCATCATGGCATTGATTTTGAATGTTGTCCCACCAATCAAGTCGATCTGGAGCTCCAATGTGCTACCCTTTTCAGCAATATGGTCGGGACCCAGATCCAGCACAAACGGATAGGCAATGCTGGTGGTCTGGTTGTGGTATCCCAAAATGTTGAATGATGTTTGGTGGGATTTGCCGCTTTCTTGGTGTTTCCATTCGAGGCTAAACTTGGCTTGGGATTCGGCCCACTTTTCGCCGTAACTCTTGAGTGTATGGAGCGTAATAGTCTTGACTGCGTTGGGTGTCTTGTCAATGCGCAGGCGTACCGAAGCCCCCGATTTGCCAGCGACAAAGCCTAGCTTGTTTTGCCACCCATTCCGCATATCTTGCTCACCCGCCCAACCATCATTCTCCACAATGAACTGGTTTAGGTATTGGTTCAGTGAATTTGCGTTTCTGACAGTCCCCATGGGCGCTGCGACGAAGGCAAAACTACAAGGAAGCGCCTGGGCAGATTTGTCACTCGATGCGTGGCAATAGTCTTGCAATTGTTTTCGGCGGTCCACTGCATCCTGCTTCCATTGTCGTGCCACATCCGCCACTTGCAACTCGGGGTCTAAAATGGGAGGTACCTCTTCCTGCACTAGCTGCAGAACGTTGGCGGGGGCAAATTTAGTGGCCCTGTGATGTGGATCTTGATCTGCCACGAACTCTGCAGTAACCGTGCGGTTGTTGTTGATTTTGCTTTTGTTTTGAGATGCCACTGAAACATGTGGTTGATCTCCTCCTCGACTAGTTTCTTCTTCACAAAACTCTAGCGCCATGGTCAGAAAGGAGTATGCCACGGTCCAGGCAATCATTTGATGCCCCGGCATTCCAAAATGTACATCGCGCGTTTCTCGTCCTTTTTTGTCGATCCATTCGGCCGAAAATATTTTCTCTGTGGTATCGGCATAGACCCATCGTCGTACAACCTGAGCCGAACTAATGGCTCCCGTGGTCCCGTACCAGTCTGCCAATAGATCGACGGCTTCAAAGCGAAATAGTTCTCCGAGAATAAAGTTGTGTTGATTTCCCAGGTATTCATCGACAAACAAGACGACGGGAGCCTCCTGACAGGGTCTTGAGAATATGGACGTTCGAATGAATTTTTGAGCTCGTCCCAAAGCCCGTTCTAGGAAAAAGCTAAAGTCTCCCGTAGTGTTGGATTTGTCGCCTCGCTTGTCAGCCGGTGGTAGATTGTCGTTTGCCGAGTAGGCATTGATAATGACATCGGGTCCATATTGCAAGAGCGCTGACCCGCCTGGGAAGAGCCAGTAATCGAGTACAGGTCCTGCCAAATCCGAGTTGGTTCCTCCCACGGCCAAGTTGTGTATGCGAATAATGCCCGGCCCAAGAAAGGCATCGACGAGGAGTTGCAATCGGTAGGGCCAGGAACACGGTTGTCCTCGAATGGTGGGTGCTTCGTTTTTGTATACCCCCACCACGTATGTTTTATCGCATCCAGCTCCTTCAGTGACACTTCCGCCCACCACGGCCACTTCCAACGGTGGAGCATTTTGGGGATCTCGGAGTTTGGTTTGAATGATTTTCATAATTCGTCGAAGAGCGCCATGATCGGGTGACCTTCTCAGACCCTTTTCTAGAAAGTAGGGTGTCATGAGATGTAGCAAATTTTTGGTCCAGTTAGCATGAACTTGGTTCGGATCCAAGGGATGTAACGATGCTTGAAAGACTTCTTCCAGGTGGTTTTGCCACAATGCCGAAGACGTGGCTCCCAGAGGTAGTTTGGAACATAGCTTTTTTTCAAAGGGAGATTTGTGCTTCCGTTGGCGTTCATTCCGGAGATCAAAGGAATGATCTTGACAGTCGTCCAGTAGAGACCCAGCGCGATGGTGCATCATCGTTTGGTAACTACTTGGCCTGTGGCCATTTCCATTGTGCTTGTCATTCTTCTTGTCATTATCGTCTTCGTGCGAAAACAGAACCAAGTTGAAGATCAAACAGACATTGAATGTCAGGATAAACAGACGCAGTGTTGGCCATACCAAGCTGCCCATCGTAGGGTTGTGTTGTCTCTTTTCTCTTAGTATTAATTAACAGTTGTAAAGGTGGTTTGTCGTTGTTTGTGTTGGTTGTTGGCCGTTGTTTCTTTTTGGGTTGACTTCTCCTCCCACGGGATGACCGCACAGGTCATTTGGTCATACTGGTCAAACGCTGAGACCGACGTCTTGCATTCAGTCACGAACCGTTCAATCGTTACAATAGTGACGTCAGTCTGTCAAAATCTTTGGTTGGCACCACAAAGAGAACGATGAATGTGTGGAACGAAGATTGCCATCACAACGTCCACATCCACCTGAGTTTTTGACTTGTGCTATACTATTGTTAGATCCAACAACAATGAGACCCCTGCCGTCGTTATCTGCAGCCACATTGGGCTTGGTGGTGGTCGTCGTCATGTGCCATGGACCAAAGATCACATCGTCCTTTCAGTTGACACGGTTTTCAAGTACCGGGACAATCTTAAAAAGACATCCACCACCACTATGGACGAACAACAAAACTCTGAGGTTATCCCAAGCGGAAGAAAATCTGCCGGAAACCTCCATATCCGAACTACTGGTCGACAATCCGCCTCGTGTCAATCAAGAAAATATCTGGGAACAAATGGCCAGTGCCGTTTACAACGTCGAAGAGGATCCCACCAAATTGCGCGAGTTTGTGCAGTTGGTCACGGTGCTACGAGTTGGAATTCCAAGTCTCTTATTGGCCACCACTGCCAAGCTGATTTATCCATCGACGGCACTATGGCTGGCGGCCCTCATTGACGATTCCGGAGCATTTGCCGTTATCTCGCAGGATTCCTCACAGTACATTCAAAATATTCTCACAACCAGTGGACTGGTATTCTCACTACTCGTCGGACAAACCTACTATTTCATGTACCAGCAACAAGAAGCCATATACCTGGCTCTATACCAAGAAGTCACAATGGCAAAATCATTACTCGAACAAATTGGATTGGTCAGTCAAGGCAGAACGACCTTGTATAAGAGAATTCTACAGTGCATGGATCACTACGTACAAGAAGATCTACATCGATTCAATGACGTCGAACCTGCCGTCATGCTCAGTGCCAGACCCGTAGACGATCCACTGGAAGATATCCTCTACTTGACCAGTGTGGGAGAACCCTCCATTGTCTATCAAACCGTCAGGAGTCTCCGGCAAGCCCGTGCCTATCGACTCGGGGCTCTGCAAAAGAAATTGCCGTCCATTCACATGACACTTTTATGGAGTCTTGCTGCAATTGTTCTTTGTTCCTTCCCTTTGTTGGGGGCGGGGGCTCAAACCATTGGCGGGACGGGGATCCTCAATGTTCAGGCGTGGTACCTAAGTTTCATTGTGTTTGGAATCTGTTTAATCATGGGTGTCGTGTACGAGCTACAAATGCCAGGACGAAATGGAGCATATAATGCACGAGCTGTCTTGCAAGTCATGGTGGCGGGATTGGAAGAAGAGTTGAAATTGAGGCTCAGTGGTGACTTTGTTCCCAATACGGCTGGACCCACATTGGATATCAATCGACCGGCATCATCTGTTAGTCAAGCGGCATTGCTACCCTTGGGCACTGCTCAAGAAGTCCTTCAAGCTTCAGAGCAAGCTTCGACCATTGTGGACGTCACACCGGCATCTACCGGTGATACAACAACAAAGGATTCCGAGACAAAGTCAACAGAGAAAAAGAAGGGTTTCAGAAGTAAAGTCAAGACGTGGGCATTTGATATGGTGCAAAACAGCATCACCAAATTCAAATAAAATCATATAGAATGCTACACTAGTTTTCAGACATGCATGCTTGCAAATAATGCTGTGTGGTTTTAGTACTACAACATATCCTCTGTTTCTTCCATGTCTTCAGGGATTGAGACGTCTTGAATCCCTCTGGCTGTGATGTACCATTCAGCCGTCAGATTGCTATCAGCTGTGGCCTGTTGCCGTTGTTTGCTGGGAGAGCATTTCTTCAAGGGGTGTGCCTCGAGAGTGGCTCGAATCACATGTGCCTCCATTTCCTGCTTGTAGGACTCGTGTTGTTGTCGCTGTTGCGGATGTCGCGGTTCTGGCAATTTGATGGGTACCTTTTCTTCTGTCACGCGCAAGGAGATATGAATATCCCAGGAGGATCGCTGCCAGACAGCACCGAGGGCAGGTCTGGGTGTGACTTTGACAGGACCTGACGATGGATTCGTTTCAGTGCCACCCAACAGAATTTCATCGGCGGCATCGAGGCCAGTGCCATCAATGGAATGTCGCTGATTAGTAGAACGGTGCGGTTTCTTGGGCCGTGGAATGGTGGAAGCAATGTTGACCCAGACAATCAAGTGATAGTGTCTTGCCAAATGTTTGAGTCGAAGTGCTACACGTTGTAATAGAGTTTCATCTTCGGTTGTGAGGCACCCCGAAGCTGCGTCTAAAATAAGCACCTGTGCTGGTAGCTGAAAAGCGTTGCTGGGTTGATTGGTAATACCGGTAGTATGGCGCTGTGTTCCTGCTCTCAAAACAGACTCCTCCACCTCTGCCAGGCACGAGAGCAATTGAAAGGCATCCTGAACCACTTGGAACGACACCCGATCCAGCAGGGCTGTACTCTGGCTCCGTGTGCTGCATGTGGCACTGGCCAATTCACGGAGCCGTAGGACACTAGGAGTCAAGCATCCTTGTCCCATTGCACTGGCTAGGTACATGACCGAAAGGCACTGGGAAGCGGCAGAGACGGCAATCTGTAGTGCCAATTGTGTTTTTCCACAAGCAGATGGCCCCGAGCACTGTACAACATGACCCCATGGAATGCCTCGCACAGGCATCGGAATACAGAGACGTGGATTGATGGATGATGAAATTGACTGGGCCATGGGATGGGGAATTCCCAACAGAGCATCCAGGGACAAGGACCCTGTGGAAACACAGCAAGGAACTGCTGCATTGGTTGCCATTGCTGCGCTGGAAATTGTCGATTTTTGAAACTTCAACAGATCCAGGGCTGACACGCATCCGGAAAACTGCTGTCCCGAAGACTTGTGTGGTCGAGCATTTTCTGGATGTCCCTCTTCCTCATGCTGGTACTCTTGTTGTAGCTCTAATATTGATTTTACCAATTCCTGACGACGTCCCACCAGACTGTTTGCCACTAGCTTCTTTGCGACATCATGGCGAACTTCTGGAAAACCACAGCAATGAAGTGGATTGGTACTGATGGTTCCGTCTTCATTCCGCCATCGAAGAGACCGAGGGTGTCGAGACAGCAGAGCTTGCGGCGTCTCAATGGGATGGCAGACATCACTTTTCTCAGATATCGCTACCAAACGCTTCCCAAGCTCGCGGCTAAAGTCAATGTCGGCAAACGTTGGCATGACTTCCCTTTCCCTTTGTCTATCCTACTAGCTAGCTAGCAATGAAGGACTGACTAGCTGGGCTTTGCTTTGTTGTTGTACTGTACAATGACGATGCCAATGTGTCTTCTGATCTTCAGAATTCAGCCGTGCGAAAAAAGGAAAATTGCATTGGAACTGCAATTTTTTGTGTTTTTTCGTGAAACGTCAATTAATTAAGTAATATGGTGCCTGGCTTTTTAAAATAAAAACTCGATCCAATTTAAAATCTATTAATAGTAGGACATGGATCCATTAAATCGTCTCTCAAGTATTTTTTTTTAAAAGGTTGTTGGTTAAATCTCTACTTCAGAACGGATTTAACCTATGGTTCAAGGGACTGATTTAAGACTCGACTGATTCTCGGGATCTTCCCAGGCAGCGCAGCAGCAAAGAGCATAACGGAGATATGGCTAGTCACATATAGCTGATTATTATATAGATATTCAGGACGGATATATACCGTTCTGTGACACTCGCACGACTGATCAACCACGTAAATACCAAAGTTGTTAAACCATACTCGCCGAAACACAGACGCACATGGGATCGCTAGATACCGAACTGAAACTTTGAAGAGATCGCTGACCAAATACAGAATCGCTGACTGGACTCGACTCATCAGAGTCAATCAATCCATCCAACCACATCGTCGCACAAACTCCGGAACGGAACACTTTTTCACGGGAAGCCGAATCGAAACGAGGAGCTTCCCCTCTGGATCTGTCACTACAAGAACAACATCACTAATAGCAACAAACACAACCAATCGGTCATACCTATACCATTACACTACCTATTAGCACCATTAGGACGCATTGAAACGAAGCGAAAGGACCTCGGAAGCCTGTTTTCTGTTATTCTTGTTGAAGAGTACTGTTTTACTATAGGAATCCGCTCAACGTCATCACAGGAAACACACTCCCTTTTCCTCTCTTTATCTCTCATTCAAGCCCTCATCCAACCTCCGGTTGACAGGATCGATACCTCCTATCTCCTGCACCTCTCTACCAAGCGACTATCAACGCGGCGTCTCCGGTCAGATTAGAAAGCCATCCCAATTGAAATCCTACGAGATCGGGGGCTTTCTATTCTCGACCGCCGACGGCCAAGTTGGAAGAATTGAACACAGAAGAAGTCACCGGTCTTCCCAGCACAGCACAGAAAACAATTCCCATATCTATTTGTTGTTTTCTCAGCTACGCTCCTGACGGCCATCGAAATCCCATTGTCGATCCTCTTTTTCGTACGATCGAACGATCTTTCCGCAGCAACAACAGGTTCAGTTAACCTTACCCTAAGGCACTGACTCACCCGAATCGCGAATCGAACCGATCTCACGAATCGATCGAATCGAATGATCCAAGACTCGCTACCGTGAATCGACTTCCCACCGTACCATTCCTACCTCTTCCTCTGTACGATCGAACGATCAAGAAGGACTTCACGAGATACCTGCAGTGACCACCGAGAAGAGATTACACCGTTATTCTTACTTTCTCACGCCACTAGTGGTTTCTCCCGACGTCCTTGTTGGAACTGATCCTACTGATCCAACCAGTCCTATCCTATACAGACTGATTGACTGATCGACACCTGCTACTGTTACCACCCCTCCATTGATATCTAACTCCTCTCCAAGGGAACAACAAACAACAACGAGTTCCTGTAAGGACTTGAGTTCTTGTATTCCAGGCTTGGCTGCATTTGCATGTTTAACAGCCCCTCCTGGGAACCAGCTCCTCTCCAAAGGATCCTACCCCCACAAGAACAAACTAAAAAGTGCCCCTCCTGTTTGGCTAGATTGTGCAACCTTATTGACAAGCCACCTCTCTGCTACTGCAACTGACTCTCCTACTGAGTGTGGTGCTCCAAAGGATTGAGCCCCAGACAGAACTGCAGCGTGGTGTGGCATAGATATTAATACATAACTGACTCTATCTCTCTCTCATTGATTGTGAGTGACTCTCCAGTGACTTTCCACAGTTCCACCTGAATCGAGTACCCTCTCCACATCTTGGCTTGACTCTCTGTTGTATTGTCGTCCCTACAACAGATTGAGTACCAGCCTCTGAGACAACACAGTGTCATCTCAGTAACACAGCCCCATCAACAACAACACCCCTTGATACCCCCACCACTGCCTCTACTGGCTATAGCGTGACTTCTCCAGGTTTCACTGAAAGAATCCCTAACAGCCTTTGGCTCTGATACCATCTTCTCCTGCAGGTAGTGGTATACCTGCACAAGACTTGGCACAGCCTTTGATCAGTGGCAACAACAACCAAACACTTGATATAAACTTGATTACCAGTGCCTCCGTTGCATTGCCCCTTGAATACACCCTTCACATCAATCATCTCGCCACCTCACAAGCAACCTCCATTGCTTGCGTTGAAGCACCGACACTACAGTCAATACTCCAGGATACACAACCCTCCCACCAACCCACCTACACCCCCATGACTTCCCCAGTCTACCCACTACTTCACTCAAACCCAAGGTCCTCCCAGACATTCCCCCACTCCCACACTTCACCCAACCAACCACATCCACCATCCTCCGCAGACTACACAACACCACTCCCCAGATGATCAGCCAACAGCTCCTAGAGCATGCAGCCATCTTGAGGATCACACCCTTCCGAATCACACCCTACCCTATCAGGGAGGATGCTTTGTTCTCACCCTTGACCAAGGCACGCCTCTATCCTAAACACACCATCAACCATGCTACATCCAACTCCTACAACAACACTCCAACACCAACAGGATCTCCCCTTCTGCCCCTGGCACCAGCCCACCTTCCAGTCCCCCTTATCCTCCTTCTCTTGACTCAACAACCCCTCGAACAGCCCACACCACTCCAGCAGCCACTGTGCCTCCCTCCTGGGAACACCACGAGGGAGTGAGAGCACATTGTTAGGGAACCTGCAGCGCAAGACCTGGTTTACAGGGGCTTACACAGGATTTTGGTCGGTATTGAAACCATTACCACCATAGGGACCGTGAGGACCAGTTAGCTTGCCAGACCAAAGAGTGCTCGCCAGTAAGTGTGTCTGGATGATCAGGTCCCAAGCTGAGGCAAGGGCCTTGGCATGCAAGGCAAGATTCCAGCAGAGCCCGTAGGATGTGGTACTCCTTAGGCTGGACCCGAGCAGGGTGTAACCTATTCAATGCACAAAAATTTTTAGATAAGAGGCCAACAAGCAGGCAGAAGAATGGGGTCAAGTGACACACTGGCGGTGTGTG